CTCGATTCTTACACTCCTTTGGGTTCGTGTTAATCCGTTTGTGGCGAAAGGCGGTCCTATTCTCGAGATCTGTGGTTTAGACTGCTTGTGATTTGGTTGATGGATCGATGAACCGGTTGTTGAAAAAGGTTTGATTCCCACGGATCAGAGAGGTAAGCGAGAGAGAGAGAGATACTCTGTTTACCTCTAAGACTTCTCCTTCATTGTGTTCAGTAGATGGTGAAAAAAAAGAAAAAAAAATATATTTAATTTTGTTACGAGATTGTTATTTTTGCAAGAATGTGTTGTAGATATAGATGAAAGAAGAAGAAAGTTGTTGTCTATTTGTTTTGTTCTTTGGTGGTGAGAGAAAATATTTGTCAAGTTATTCTTTAATTGAATATTTCTGATCTCTTTTGAATATTACAGAAGAGGAGTTTCCCATCTGTAATCTTTTGCAAAAAAATACTTGGATTTATTTTCATTTAAAAAACAATGTGAGCTTCTGTGTTATCTTTTGAAAACCTAATTCCGTTAAGCTGTTCTTGAGTTATAGAGGTCGACTCCGTATACTGTAGTTTATGAAACAAAATAATGTTTTGTGAAACAAAATTACGTTACCGTCTGTACATATTATATAACCATAGATCAGTCTCCAAAACTACATTTGTGTACATTCAAATAACTCCATAACCAACCGATTTTCTGGTTCAGCTGGTTATTGGATTTTCTTGGGAAAGATATGGGCTTTTGTATCCGGTTTGGTTAGCATTGGAAATTCAGTTTTGGGCCGATCAAAATACAAAATATAAACTTAATTACGATGGCTAAAAAAAGTAATATATTGGCCCAATAGGCCCGTATTTGCAGATGCCTTTGTATTAGTTTTTGCTTTCGTTGGGTTTGACAATGGCAAGTGACATGCTGCAGCAATGAGAATTAGACAGTCAGTTACATACCGAAAGGACGAATTTTTGCTGTCAACATCAAGAGGACGACCTTTCCAATAATGTTAAATAATATTTTTTTTATAAAAACGTGTTATGTTTGGTCACATTTCAACAAAAATACTCGTGTGTGTATGTATAGTGTCTACTGTTCCTTTGGCTGCTGGATTCGGGATCGTACGTAAGTGAGACGGAAGCATATGGATTTTATGGAATGTCACTCAGATAGTATTAGTGATTATTTATTATGATGTGATATATATAGTTTGACTGTTGACTCTTTTATGGATTTTGTTTGAAGAAAATAAAATAATGGTTGACTTGTCGGTGTTAAAGAGTTTGTATATGACTTTTTTGAGGGGGAGGGCAAAGTCAGCCATTTTCTGCCACGTGTTAGACACGATCTTCGATTCCTATATGGCGAAAGACAAATAAGAGAAGAAGAATAGTAGACGATAGCAACTCTTTATGTCCTTTCAAATTTCAATATACATATCTTTTAATCTTCGACGATATATATTTCTCGACTTACAAAATATTAATAGGTATTATTAATGTGTTGGATCTCTTTGTAGTACTAACTAGTACGTACCAACGAGGTTTGATGTTGTAGACGTGTATGCCTCTTTTGATTGTCATAAGTAATACCTGTGTATGGTTTTAAACGTAAGTTTTTCATTTCGTTGTTAAAATGTGTTTCTATATTTGAAAGCTCGAGTTTAAATCAGAGGAGAGTAGGTTAACTTTCCGTGATGAAAAGATGTATATATATAGTCATAGAAGACCACTTGACGAGAATATTAAATTCAAGAAATGTGGTTTTCTACATGTAGTCGTCTGAATGACATAACTAATGCAATTTAGTTGACCGATATCAAAATTCAAGGATCAGAATGCCATGTAAACTGATTTATCTATCTACAATGATTATTTTTTGTGTGTGAATACATGTATATATTTTAATATTTTATAGTTATATTCTTTATCAAATATTTTTTACGTACGTGTTACCAATATTAATATCTGTTAAATGAGTTATCTTCTACTGATTTCAATGCTTCTACAAAGGGTCTGATGATAACTTTGAACCTTTGCATGTATTTACATCTGTTATTTTATATAAATTATTTGATCTACTTTAAATTTGTTTAATAAACATTAAAGAACGTTTAGTGAGAACCCAAATTCGAATTCTCTTATCACTCATATATTTTATACATACAAAACAACGCACCGGATACAATGTATCAACATAATGTTTTAATATATGCAAAAAATGTCCATAAACTTTACCTATATAGTAGTTTTCGTTTGGTAAAGTCCATATATATATAGTAACTATCATAACATAGTAGAATCCGAATTTTCATGTCGACAACATATTTTCAAATCATATTTTAATAATAGTATGTATTTAAAATCTCTTTTAAGCATAACAATGGAAGTAAAGGGTTTGTAACTTTGTATGCTGTTTCCCATTTCTTAAATATGATTGCGTCATCACGTGTTGTCTGAGGTGATTAATTAAGCTGTATACTCGGAGTAATACTTTTAAATCATTAATGGTCCGTACAAATAAGATCCGATTATTTTCAACTGACTAGAAAGTAGTTATTAAATAACGCATTACTAATCAATTACTTTAATATCACTGTTTCCCATGTTTCATCGCACATCTTTAGGTAGACCATTATCAAGTTGTGATGCCAAATTGCCAATTGTTGAGTGTATTTATTTACAAGTGGCCACAGTTTTCAGATTTTAACGTCTATCATCTCAAATAAAACATAAGCACATTATAATTGTGTAGAATATTCTAAAAACTAAAACTATTAATCCTTTTTTTATAATATTTTTTTCTCCTACAAAAATGAAAACTCAATAAAAGTTCATGACTTATATAAATCCACTAAATAAATTCCCCTTTATTTATTTATATACTACTATTTTGGTGCTTTTTGTGCCTAAACACTATGACATTACATCATTTTCTAAAAGAATATCGTATCCATTTAATTGCACACTTGTAAGTTGTAATATACTCATATATATTAGTATTAGGCTTTTTGCCACCTAGTTTGATACAAATATTCTACTTATTTATTATATAGAAAAAAAACAAGACAAGTTGATGTGGTAGACATTATCGTAGACGCCAGAACTTGATTAAGCTGAAATGATCATGCCTTGTTCTCCGGTTTGCCTGTTTAACTAAATTGATTTAATACTGCAAATTGAATGGATATTCTTATAATAATCCTTAGGTTTGATCGCTGTGGTAATGCGATTCTAATCTGGGGTTAGGTTAGGCGATATATATAGACACACATATCACATGGAAAAGTAAAAAAAAAAAAAAATTATCGTAGAGTTTCCGTATTTGAATCGATCTCATCTGCTGAATGCCTTAGACTATACAACTAAAAGTTTATTTTATTTTTAATAAATACTGTATTTAAAACTATGTAGTAAATACGATTAGACTGAATATTTGTTTTTTTTCTCAAGGAATTGACAGGTTTAGCTTTATCCAGGTATCGTCGTACAATAATTTTTTCAGCATTTTAGGAAAAGAAATTGTCGTACTGAATAATTAGTTAAAAAGGACTTAAAAACATCAGGCTAAGAAAAAGTGTCACATCATAACAATCGTATCTCTTGTTTTAACAATTTATTTTGTATTTTTAAAATCCTCAATAGCTCGTTAATGGGGGGAAAAAATAAATAATTGGTGGCTGATTTTATTTTCTCAAATTAGAATATAAATAGCGAAATCAACCCTGAATAGGTTTATTGTTTTTAAGTTTTAACAATAGGAAAGTGTCACGTTAAAAAGGTTTAACTACCATACCAAGTACGTCAACTTGTGAGCACACTTGCTGAGATTGGTACAAAACAAAAGTCAAACGATGCCGTTTCGAGATTATCCTCAAGTTACTCCTACTATTGGATAAAACTCAGGTTATAAATATAATAGTCTAGAACATACTACTAGTGTCTCCGAATCATTTTAATTTTGGAAGCAATGTGGACAAACTTAACATTTTGTCCTTAAAAAAAAGTTTTTTTTTTTTTGACAGGCCATACTGAATTTGGAAAGTAATAAAAATATGTCTCGAGCAAGAAAAATCGAAAACGATGAATATGTCGTGGGTCAAACGGTCAAAGATAATTTAAACACGATAAAGAGACGAGAGGTTGAAATAAGTGGGCCTGCGCTAAGGCCCAAACTAATCAGCACCGACACCGTCCAAACGGTGCCTATGAGTTTGACGTCGGCACGAACCAACACCGACTCGTGCGAGACACGCGCTTTTCGTACACCACGGCTCCTCTCGCAGCTTGACCTTCAAGCTCACCGTTTAGGCAAATACCTTTATTTTAATATAATATTCATTCCCCTGTACCTATTTTTTCAGCAATTCATTCTTATAGTAATCGGAGTTATTAATCACCGAACCATAAATATAGTAATTAATAACTCGTGTCCGAATGTCTACATATTTTAACAGTGTTTATTTCTTTTGGTTTTACTTTGCAAGGTGTCTTAGTTTATTATTAGGCTCGTTCAAGTTTTGATTATAATTTATAACAGTTAATAGTTCATTTACATGTCGATGAAATTAAATATCAACTACTAGTTGCAAAAGTTTCAGATCCGTTTCATATAATAAATACAGGACCAAATATGTTCATATGGACTCTAAATCATCAAAACCAAATTTTCTTCTGTTAGTATTATATAGTTCAATTTATAATATTGAGCTATTTACTTTATTTTTTTATAGTACGTATTCACACGAAACAGAGACAAGCCGACTCTTTTCATTTGGCGGCGCTGAATAGAAAGAAAGTTTACACAACAAAAATATTTGTATATCTATCAGCTGAAAACATCCTTCTTTGTCTAAAAAAAAAACCATCTTGAAAACTCTCTGTCTTTCTCTCTCTCTCTCTCTCTCTCTCTACAGAGATTTCTTTCCCTCTAAGAAAGAACAGTATATATTTTTTATAATTGCTTTGGGGTTTATAAGCTTTAAGCTTCAGAGGGAGGATTTAGAAAGAGGGATTTTTATGTGTGCCTTGAAAGTGGCCAATCAGGAAGATAACGTTGGCAAAAAAGCCGAGCCTACCACTCGAGAAGATGATCATCGCACGTTATCGGAAATCGATCAATGGCTTTACTTATTCGCGGCGGAAGACGACCACCTCCTCCACCGTCATAACAACCTCACGCCTCCGCCGTCGTCGTCTCTTATGTCGAGTTTTAGCAGAGAGATGGAGATGTCTGCAATTGTCTCTGCTTTGACTCATGTCGTCGCCGGAAATGTTCCTCCTCATCAATTCGTTGGCGGTGATGCTAGCGGTGGCGGTGGAGAAGGGACTTCGAATTCCTCTTCTTCCTCCGGTCAGAAAAGGAAGAGAGAGGTTGAAGAAGGTGGCGGTGGCCAACCCGTCAAGGCTGCTAATACTTTGACGGTTGATCAATACTTCTCCGGCGGAAGTTCTAGTTCCAAAGGTAATTTTGTCTTTTTTGGGTCTATATAACACACATCTCACACGTTTGCGACATTTATACAAACCATTATGCTACAAATTCAAAACATTAAAATATCTAAAACCGTTTGTTTTTTCTTAGTTTTGAAAGATCATATTTGCTAAATGTTTTAAATAAAATTTATGATGTAGCCTATTAAGATTTACATCAAGGGTATGAGTCAAACCATATATTTTTAAAACAAAATCCAAATAGCTACTCTTTTGTTGTCCTCAGGCAATCTTTAAAAATAACATAATGTTTTTTTTTTGTCTCGACAAATTCCACGAGATGTTAGTTTATAAGTAGAGCGAATCATTTTTGCACAAGACTATTGGAAATCTCAAATTTAAACTTCTTATATTGAGAAACCAATGCATATATATCATTTTTTATTTCAAATGTTTAGTTTTTGAAAAGTTTTTAAAATATGGCAAAGTTAGTTCTTGAATTAGAACAACTTTAAATCTTAAACAAATATAAGAAAAAAATATTAACTAATGTAAGTTATGTATAAAAAATTAACGAAAGTGTTGACAAAAGATAAATAAATAAATAATAATAATAACGGAAGTGTACTTGATTATCCTAAGACATATACTTTAGAATTGTTATAAAAAGGTTTGGATACTTAAATAACAAAATGATGATGATGATGGTGATGCCAAAAGAATCTATCTCCCTCCATTTACCTGAAGAGTCGTTTTCCACTTGCTTTTTTTTTTTCTACTTGTTCATTGCTCTGTCACCTATTTGGCCTCATCACTTTCTCATAATCACTCAACTGTACTCGTTTAAAAAAACAAAAAGAATTCACTTTATAATAACTTTATTCGAGACATTCAATTTTCAGTTCCTTTTAAATGTAAAAAAAAAAAAAATTGTTAACTAAACGAGTCAAAACAAAAGAGTGAATATTTATATGTTTGTTTGTTTGCAGTGAGGGAAGCTTCGAGCAACATGTCAGGTTCAGGCCCAACATATGAATACACGACCACAACAAATGCTAATACCGAAACGTCGTCGTCTAGTGGGGACCAACCTCGGAGAAGATACAGAGGAGTGAGACAAAGACCGTGGGGAAAATGGGCGGCTGAGATTAGAGATCCGTTCAAAGCGGCTAGAGTTTGGCTCGGTACTTTCGACAACGCTGAATCAGCTGCACGAGCTTACGACGAAGCTGCACTTCGGTTTAGAGGCAACAAAGCCAAACTCAACTTCCCTGAGAACGTTAAACTCGTTCGACCCGCTTCAACCGCTGCAGCACAATCTGTGCCGCAACCCGCTGTTCAGAGACCGACCCAGTTAAGGAACTCGGGTTCCACAAGTACCCTTTTGCCCATAAGACCTGCTTCGGAGCAAATCGTTCATTCTCAGCCGTTGGTGCAATCCTACAACTTGAATTACTCAGAGATGATGGCTCGTCAACAGCAACAGTTTCAGCAACATCATCAACAACAATCTATGGGTTTATATGATCAAATGTCGTTTCCGTTGCGTTTTGGCCACACGGGAGGTTCGACAATGCAATCCACTTCATCATCGTCGTCTCATTCTCTTCCTATGTTTTCTCCGGCAGCGGTTCAGCCTCTGCCGGAATCGGCAAACGAAACTGGTTATCTCCAGGATCTACAATGGTCACCAGACAAGACAAGTAATAACAGTCCATCATCCTGATGAATTGCTTCATTTTTTTCTTTTCTTTTGCTATAGTATAGTTATAGAAAAGAACTAAAAAAACGATTACCTAAATATTATAGTGTTTTAGGTTTGTATTGCTTTCCTTCTTCCTTCCTTGCATGTTTTGTTTTTTTCAATATTTATCATATTTTTGCATAATAATTCGTTGTAAAAAAAATGATAAGACAACAGGGAGAAAAAGAAAACTAAGAGTTTTTTTGTGTACTCTCTAAAGGTTTCCTTAAAGATCACACACAGAATAAATATTCTAGTGTATGTGACACAAACAAAGAAACAAAACTCGAATGAAGAATTTTCGGACAAATGGCAACAACCTGAAAGATTCTCTCCATCTCTCTGCTAAACAGGTTTCTCAAGCTCTTAGTGCGGCTTTATGAACCATAGTTTCTTTGTGAATTTGGTGACAACTCTTCTCAACAAGATCTAAGAGCTTCTCCAAGTTTGTCGCCCATGAGTTGAGAATTTCGTTGCTGTCTTCAGCCATCTGGAAGCAGATTATTCCCGATGGTCTATCGATTTTTGCTATCAAGGCTTTGGACACAACCATCTCAGATAAATGCTTCTCTGCTTCCTGATATATATAATGAACCAACAGGAAGAGATTTAAACACAAAACTGTTTACAATTAGATTGCTTTTTAAACGAATAAATACCTCAATGGTCAGGCATAAAAGTGCTGCAAGTCTCTTTAAGGTAATCCTTGAGTAGTACTTTGAGACAACGATAATATTCTGCACAAGATGTGGAGAGATTAGTGAAATTTACAGAACGACGCAAACAAAGAGATAAGTATAAATCAGAGATCAAAGAGTCTTTACGTGTTCGATGATTCTTAGTTTGAGATCTTCACCAGCTTTGTCACCCAAGGACCCCCCAATCATGCTTTTCTCTTTCTCAAACTCGCCCTTGTATTTATTCCAGAGAGATGTCCACTGAATCACCTCCATTGTCACAACCTGTTTTAGAAGCATCCTGCAACAGAATATAAACACAAGGATTGAGAATTATATCCAAAACGGAGAAGCGAGGAAGAAGAAATGAAAACCAAAACTTATATCAAGCCAAAGAGAATTACTTGAAATCAGGAATTTCTGACAAATTCTTGTCTTCCAAGGTTGCATTAAGCAGGCTCGATTGCATCGGATCATGGGGCGCCAAGACCAAGAACCAGCATATCTTCCTCAGAACCTATGTTAAGAGGATCAGGTAAAAAAAAAGGACGTTAATTCAAGCTTATTATACAATGCAAACTATCGAGTATCCAAACAACGATATGACACTTACTGGAATCCATTGTTCTGTGTTTTCCTTTACTGAAGGGATATCATATATCGCCTTGTAGCTACGGCATATCTCAAGGTACTCATTGTCGTGAGAATAATACCTACACAGTAGAATTACATGTTTACAAGTTAAGATCACACAACCACAGAAATAAAGATACATCGAAATTCAGAGGAAACATAAATGCATATTAAATTCATTGATGAAGAATGTGTTAAGAGACCAAACAAGGCCTTACCTAATCATTAGTTCATAGTAAATCCGCTTTAGCTCCAACAATGTTGGTATATCAGCTGGAGCCTCCTCTACCATGTTTTCACCTTCCTTAGGTTTCTTTTTACCCTTCGTGGTATCTGCATTAAATACTCTTGGATTGATCTTCCTAGATAAGATTTGTGCACGGACAAAATCTTGTCGATCCAAGCACAACCGAACCTTCACAAGTTTAACATCACCAGTAATTAGCACCACAAAATACAACCAAAAACATAGCTAATGACTAATGAAAAGAGAACAGAAGGTGGTCGTACTTGTTCAAGGATGAATGCAATCTTCTCTGTTTTTGCCATAGCACCAAATGTCTCCACCTATCGATTATTCATAGTCTAATTTCAGAGATGAACTGGAAAAAAAAAACGATTTTCGAGGACATTTTGGAAGCTAAAGGCAGAGATGCTTACAGCAACTTCTTGCATAAGATCTGCAGCTTCGGCAATCAGACCCTGTTCTTCCTTAATCTTGGCAAGCTTCCTGGTTAAACGAGCTCTCTCGATCTCCACATATATCTAGAAATGCACAATCTCATTGAGAAAACTTCCACGGATAGGTAGAGATTAGGGAAACTATAGTCTTTGATCCTAACCTTTCCTGCAGATACATTGTTTAGGGTCTTGATAAGCTCAATCCGAGTTTCTATGTCTGGTGTCTGATCAATGTACTGCATTGCTTGTTGCACCATTGATTGTACAGCCTGCAAACGAAGAGACCTTTCCACTTTAATATCATAAAGTCTTGCAATCAAATCAATCGTGTCTCCTTGCTCATACAACACTAAGCACCGATTCTAGAAATAGTGTTCAAAGCAATCGAAAAGCCATAAAACACTCAGCACCGATTCTAAACTAATCCGTGAATGGAAATCGAAAAGTAGTGTGACCTGCTTAAGCTGGCCACGTTTCTTCGACAGATTCAAAATCTGTTCGTTCAGAAGTTTCCAGTCTTTAGCCTCGAAACAAAGCTTCAGAATCTCCATAGCGGCTTTCCTCGTTCCGGCGACATTTTCCGCAAGCCTCATTTGCTTCTCTTCGTTCAGAAGACGATCTATCGACGCTTCGAGCTGTCCTCTTTCTCCCTGCAATCAACACGATAGCGAAATTACACCCAAACTCGAAACGAGGAAAAAAAAGGGTGGTTGAAATCAGATCTGCGAAATCGGAGACTTGCCATCGCTAAACGCCGGGAATCAATACTCCGAGAGAGTAAGAGGTAGGTCAAAGTTCCGGTGACGAAACTAATTAACTTCAACAATTCAGATAGAGAGAGAGAAGGTAGTCGTCGAAACCCCAACCCCTTGAACAAGAAAAGCTCAGACTCTTGGGCCGATGATACCTTTTATTTAATGGCCCATTTGTAATCATCAGCCAATACATACCTTTATTTAATGGCCCATTTGTAATCATCAGCCAATACATTCGCAATGGTTTCATATTGAGCATCAATCTCTAAAGACATAACAAAATATGTAAGTGTATTAGTTTTCTAACCGTATACTTAAACTTTGGAATATGGTTCACATTACAATGAGTGCACTTTGATTCCATGACTCTTTTAGTTTTGGACTAGCTATAAATGTAATGGTTGTGGTTTTTTTTTTTTTTTTTGTCATCATAATGGTTGTGGTTGTGGTTTATATAATACAGAACACAACCTCGTCATCTTTGGTTCACATAGATTGATCAATCCGGTTACGGTTCATTTCTATAAAGTATAAACTATATCTTTCTCTTTGTCCAACATTTGTCAGAGGTTTTACATGTCTTTTGGCTCTTTTAATTTTTGTTATGGGGAAATTTTACTATGACTTTCCTATTACGGGAGAGTTACTATTACATGTCTTTTGGCTCTTTTTTTGTTTCGAGACCGTATCCCAGTTCAAGTTCCATTCATTTAACTTAAAAAAGTTTCAAAATTAAAGTCTAACCAGGATTGTCGAAGAATAATCTCGATCCCGTATATACGTACGTATTTGGTTATCGCCTAATTATCTCCTGAAGGAGTTTGTTGACTTTGTTATGTTCGTCCTCAACATGATATATTGTACGACGACATTTACATGATATGACTGATTATAAAGTTTGCATTTCAGATTCCACGTTTAATTGTCGTACAGATTAAAGAACATAATATATATCCAATGGCATTATTTATTTTACAAACCAAAACCCACGGTGCGATCCATACATAAACACACACACAAACTATGAAATATAAAATCGTTTTCTCTCGAGATATTTTGTTTTTTTGGTAAGCTTCTCTCGAGATATTTGCTGTACACATATGCATACAAACTCGATTATATTATATATATATAATATTTTTTTTTTTTACATTCTCAATACTTGATAGTAACTTTTGTTGAATAGATCATACAAATCTCGGGATATCTTAGAATCTCTGGATATCTCACAAGAAATTGATAAGCTCATCATCATGTGTTTCATTAACGATTGTGTATCGGTCTTTTCTTGTTCGCACTATTATAATCCATATCAACCAATCCATCACCATCACTTCCTCCTCCGTCTTGCCTTGAGTTACGACTCTCTTGATCCTTCTCCACAACCAATAGCGTTCTATTCCTCACTATTTCTCGTAAGCTCCGAGCTAAAAAAAAAACCAACAAAATTATTATTAGATACTCATTTTTCGGTAATATATTATAGTATTCAACAAAAAATATTCAAGTTGATATGTATACAAATCTTAGTGGCTACCAGAAATAACTATAAACTCGTGATGTATTAGCTGCAAATTTACCTTGAGCAGGAGAAGAAATGAAGAGGATGAGAAGAAGTGCTAGGAGGAGAGACTTGTGGGAAACCCTAATTGCCATTTTTGGAAGAGAGGCTCTTTTATTTTTCTTTGGCTATATTGTCTATCTTTTTTGTTGAACCTTTTTGTGTTTATATACGAGATGAGTGATTCTCTATGATGAGCTCATGGTCCCAATTTATATATCAGAATTGAAGAACGTTTTGGAAGTTATTGGGACATATGGGTCTAAAGATTTGACGTCGATATTTCCTTGTCTTCCCACATTAACATTAACACACAATCTATCCCCACAAACTTATTTTTTTCTTGTTTGCAACCCAAAAAAGAATTAAATGATGATAATTCATGCAATCACTTTTTTTTTGTATGAGAAATAGAACTTCGGTTACAAAGTGCTTAATGTGGAAGCGTTCAAACCAAAACACATACCTGCGGGTGTAGTCCAGAATCAAAAGCATAGGTCGAGAGTGTAATCACCAACATAAATCAACATGTCCCTATTTTAAGTGACTATATGATTCACTCTCTCTCTTTTAAAACGTTTTTACTCTCTTGATTTCTATAGATTAACAAATTTTATATCAAACTACTTAATTTCTACAATGTTTTTTTCATATTACGGGATTAAGAGGAATAATAGCAAGAGGTAATGAGGTTTGTGGAGTAAGTAGGAGTGAGAACTTGACATAACTATCGATTAGCCAAATTAAAGTATATTGCCAAATCATGGTTGCAAACCGATCTTAAACCAATAAATTGATATAAAAATTGTTGTCCTCTGATCATATGGAGATATTGAGATTGTGGTCCTTTAAAGGAATACGATTTATCAGAACATCGAAAACATTATATATTATTTATGTGCAAGTCAATGTAGGCATAGAATAATAACCTAAAAGTTTACATTCAATATTGTTTATACATGTTTTACGTGGTCAAAGCGTGGCCGAAGAGGGATGTTAGTAATCTCATATCGAGAGAGAAGTGTAATTAAGAGATCTAACATGTTATATAAATTAAAACTGCTAGCCATTTTATCCGTGATCAATTGATTTTTGGAAGTTCATAATACATATTCGATAAATATATGTACGTTTTATAGGATTTGAAATTCAAATACAATATCAGGCATATAAATTTTTTTTTAATTTAGTCAACAATGAATGGGATTCTCGTTGATAACGTGAAATTTAGCAGATTGTAAAATTTCGATTAAAATATAAAACAAGTTGGACCACGTTAGGGATGTAGATAGGAGTGGGGGTCGGGGACATGTTAGAGGAGAGTGTATAAATATGGCAAAAAGGACGTAAAGTTTGTAGAGTCATGTGTTTCCCAATTAGCCATTCATTATTACAAATTCAATTTCTTCAACTGTAAAAATTCCGACAAGAGTTGGTCTACTTTATTTTCCTATTTATTTTTAGAAAAAAAAATCCAAAATTTTTTTCTTTCTAGATACAGTACATCATTTTATATTTCACTCCTCAATCTGATTTGCTAAATACAAATTCTAATGTGTTAGTTGAAGAAAAATTGACAATTCTAGTAAACAGTAATGTGATCCAATTTGATGAGATGTGTCATGTATCACATTTTTGATATTATGTGATTCGTTTTTGTTTCAACCCCACGAAATAAATGGATCTATGACCTGATATTATTATTTGTGGACCTAATAATTATTTAAAAATTCTCAGTGACAAGTTGTTTCCAAGACTTTTTAATTTTAATATCAGCCATTTCATATGATTAGCTACTTGAGTTGATGATTAGACTTTAGCGTTTGAATAAATCGTCAAAAGAATTAAAAAAAAAACAATTCAGAAATCAACCAAAATGTCATGTACAAAGAACCAGTGACAATCTCTAGACAACACCTGCTGATAAATGTTTCGTTAGTACAGAGAAAGTCATGACCGAAAGAAGAAGACTGTTTCTGTAACTTTTGTTTTTTTATCGATCCCAGAGATTTTAAAGAACTTCTCAGGTTTACATAGAAACACGTCGCTCCTCGGAGAGATCGACATCAGAGCAATGTGTGTTTGCAAGACAAGTTGAATAGAGAGAGGGACCATGAGAGCACATGTAAGGTCTGGTCCCATTTGATAATCAGTCTTTGTCTCTCTTTCATCACTGTTAACAAGTCTACATTTAAGTCTTGAGAGCTTAGACAAGACATGAAATCATCATATCTCCCCCCGACAACATCTCTATCAGATATTTTTTTTAATCTTTCTATCTTAGGGGTCCATTTCGAATTCCTCCAATGTAATGTCATTCAAATATCAGCAAATTGTTTGTGTATTAACATGAGACAATACTTTACCAGAAAAATCGAGACTTTACAAGGGGACTTTTGTTTTCATTGTTGCCATATGAAACAAGATATCATCAATGAGATCGCTCCTGACCTGTAGAGTTTGGATTGCGGTTACCAGACTCAGCCTCGCACAGGTTGAATTCCTGAAGTGTTCTTCGAACCGGACTTGAAAGACCATTAGGTGGAATCAAGACTTTCTCTTGGTTGTACTCATAATGTTGCGCTATGTGGCTTGAAGGAACATGAGCCGCTGAAGTATTTACGTTTGGTGGAGCGAATTGGTGCTGATGAAACTCTTGCATGGGGATTGGTATCGATGTCTCATCTGGTTCACATTCAAGCTCGTTCTGCATTAAACGTTTCAAAAAGAGGATAACTTTCAGATCAAAATTCAAGATCTTTGGACTTGTATGTGAAGCTAATCATACAAAGGTGGAATCATGAGATATATAAATCAATCTGAATACCAATTATTATACAGCAAGGGCATGAAGTATAATCACAAACCAGATACTGTTTCAAAGGAAAAAACCTGTAAATAGGTAGTAATATCTTCTGTCGATACTCTAGTCCCTTCTTCTTGTTGTCTCACAATCCATTGGTATAGTTTCTCCTGATAAAATTAAAACAAAAGACTCAAATTCATTAGAATAATTAAGAAGTTAAAGATCTTATGGTATGTGACTGTAAATCCTGAAACCTTGTTGAATCAAGCCAAGAACACGGTGCCACCAAATAAAATGAATCTAGTAAAAGCTAAAGTAGGCACTTGAAGATTAAAACTCAAAAAAGGCCATAACTTTGTATCCAAAGTAGCTTCATCGGTCAGAACATACATCCATGGTCGATACCAATTCACTAAGGACTAAAACAGAGTTTGTCTCTCCAAAGATTCATTAATGAAAATCAGTCAGACGTAAAACAAACCAAAGAAGAGCATAGCGGGGCAAACAAAAGTTCTCAATTCGACTCAACCCAACACACAAGAATCAAAGATTGAATATCCATGAGTTTTCAGTATATAAATAACCTCAACAACATCTTCTATGATTCATTATGTGACTAAGCACCAGATTAATGATTCCAATCATAAAGCATCATTTACGAGTCAAGAAATTCAAACAAGAAATAAAAGTATTCAACTTTCTTTTTTCTTTCCCTGAGATGAATCAGACATCTTCCACTGACTCCTATCTATCGAACCCAGAAACCAAAATCGAAACGAGATTATAGAAAAAGGTCAAAGAGAGTGAACAGACCAGTCCACGACGTTCACCGGCGAGGAAAGAGACGCGTTGGTGATTCATGGCGTGGGTATAGAGCTGAGATAGCGAATTAGCAGCACCTCGAAAGGCGCCGTACATGGTTCGATCGACCTCATCGAGCCGCGAGGCCTCGGATTTTCGCTTCTTCACCATTAGATTCCGAACGAATCAAAAACCTAGATTTTCGAGGCGCTTTCAATCTGTAAATTAGGGATTTTGAGAATCAAAATTTTGGGTGCGAAAAGGGTAAAGAGAAGGGGAGGAGAAGAGAGAGAGAGAGACTTGTGGCGTTTACTCTGTTAATATTCTGCCACGTGGATTTCATGCTACTTAATGGGTCCTACATCTTTCTTTGAGCTTGGGTCCTACATTTTTTAGAACCAAACCTTTCGAGAAAATGTGTAAATTTTTGTAGTCCACGGTTAAAGCCGGTACGGTTAAAGGGTTTTTGGCGGAAATGGAAAAACGGTATGGCTTGTAAAAGTCGGTACGGTAAGTGATTAAAGTTTATTTCTTTGTAAGTAAGATCGACCAATTTTACCCAGCGATATATTCTCTTAACCAAAAAGAAAAAAACACTAACTGATTCCCCAAATGTCCGGAAAAAAATACACCTATATTATTATTAACTCGTGAATCTTCCTAAAAATAGAAATTTATTTTAAGCTAAAAATCTCTCACTAACAACCTAAAAACATTCTTATTACAACAACAACAACGACCACCCAAAGACACGAAAAAGAAATTCACCGACTGTAAAAGAAAAACAACACACTTTCGATATCAAACAGACCCAATTTCATTCATCGTCGCCTTCTCAATAATGGCCGGAAGAGCAGCGATGCTCGTTAATGTCGGGACGGTTATAATGACCGTTTTGACCCTGGCTAGTTTGGTCGGAGGCTTCGGTGTGAATTGGGGCAATATCGCTTCGCATCCGTTGAATCCTGATATTGTTGTTAGGATGCTCAAGGACAATAAGATCAATAAAGTCAAACTCTTTGACGCCGATTCATGGACGATGAATGCTCTGGCCGGTACGGGCATGGAGGTTATGGTCGGAATTCCTAATAACCTTCTAGAGACTCTAGCCGAAGATTACGATAATGCTAAAGACTGGGTCAAAGAAAATGTCACGGCTTACATGCGCAAGGATGGCGTCAACATCAAGTAACCCTCAAAAAATTTCAACATTTTTTCTCTAATGATCATATTCGAATATTCTGACGTCTAACCATATTGTTGAAATAATCGTAATGCGTTAATCGCCTGTTACGATGAGTCTTGTGTCAATTAAATAGTCAATATAGACAATTACATAAACCAATCGATCGTTTTTTTTTTGTGTGTGGATGATCTTGACCGCTTAGGATCAGACTAATTCATTCATATGATTGCATACTTATAGGTACGTGGCCGTGGGGAACGAACCGTTCTTGTCAGCATACAACGGATCGTTCTTGAAAACAACGTTTCCAGCGTTAAAGAACATTCACAGGGCGTTAAAAGAAGCTGGACACACGGATAAAATGAAAGCCACGATCCCACAGAACGCTGAGGTTTACCAATCAGCCAACGATAAGCCATCAGAAGGCGATTTCCGCAGCGACGTAAAGCAAACAATGCTCGACATCGTCAACTTCTTCAACGATAACGATTTACCTTTTACCGTCAACATTTACCCTTTTCTTAGTCTTTACCTAAACGAGCACTTTCCCGTCGAATACGCTTTTTTCGACGGTAATGGTCAGTCGATTCCTGATAAAGGGAAGAACTACGATAACGTGTTTGATGCCAATTACGACACGCTTGTTTACTCATTGAGGAAAGCTGGGATCAAGGATATGAAGATCATCGTTGGGGAGGTAACGTGAGAAGAAAGTTATTGGTTATTAGGTCAATTAAGAAAATTGAATTTGGGTTGTGCATTTTTTCTATAGGTTGGATGGCCAACGGATGGTCATAAATATGCGACGCCAAAGCTAGCAGAGAAATTCTATGCAGGGCTTATGAAAAGACTTGCCGATGATGTTGGGACTCCGTTGAGACCTGAAAGATTAGAAGTTTATCTTTTCGGTTTCCTCGACGAAGACATGAAGAGTATTCTTCCTGGACCATTCGAGAGACATTGGGGAATCTTAAGGTATATACTTTTCTCTTCATATAAAAAAAACTAGCTAGATCTCTTGATCTTGCAATACACTTATTTCCAACATTTGTCCAACAGATACGATGGGACGCCAAAGTTTATGCTAGATTTCACGGGACAAGGACGCAAGATCGTGCCCGTGGCAGCGAAAGGTGTGCAGTACTTAGAAAAACAATGGTGCGTAGTGAACAAAGACACGATCAATCTAGACGAGGTTGGTCCGGACCTAGACTACGCTTGTTACCACGGTGACTGCACCGCGATGCAGGGCGATTCAACATGCAGTAAGCTAGACAAAATCCAGAACATATCATACGCATTTAACATGTATTTCCAGATTCAGAACCAAGACGTCAGGGCTTGTGATTTCAAAGGAGCAGCTATGATTACTAAGAACAATGCATCGGTGGGAAGTTGCTTGTTCCCTATTCAGATCGTTAGTGGAAGTGACGATTTCAGGATCAGCTTTGTGATCGGAAGATTCATTCTCGTTGGACTTGTTCTTCTTGGATTGCTCACGGCTATATAATTTGTCTCTTTCTGTTTGTTTTTTTTTGTACTTTCGGGGAAACTGATTCTATAAGGTTAACTGTTATTTGTTGTTCGTTTAATAACATTTGAGTTAGTTGATTTCTATGTGTTTTATAGACCGATATATTCATATACTCATTTATAGAGTTATTTTTCCATTTGAATTTGAATTTCTGTTTTTATCTGTACTAAGAATAAGAATAGAATCTTCGCTTTGCAGGCTAACTATGATATATTATAATTTGAAAACTATTGTATGTAAATATGGGTTTAAATCCCTTTCTCTTCACATCTTTATGCTTTGATGTCGTGAGATTACAAGAGAATATTTTTTAGCAACACTTCATACTTGTCATAAAGATGGAAAAGGATACTGTCGTGGGTTCTTCAGTCTGCTGTTGGTAACAACTTTGATACAACCATGTTATATCTTATGATTTTTATAATGGAGATGATTTGATTGCAAGTTTGCAACGTTGACATTTTCCTAACAGCTTTCCTTCTTTAACATCTCCTCCATTGACTTTTCAGTTTTCACAACAGAAAACTGTTTTTCAATTTTATGTGATTATTATTAAGACAAAAAAACTAGCAAGTGTTTATTACAATATATAAGCTTTCTTTTTAAGAGTTCATTAAATTTGGAATCAAGTGTATTTTGTGTTAATACCACGAGGTTAAATGTTAACATATAAAAATAACTAATAAAAACGAAATTAGTATATTTAGAAAAAAAAATGAGAAAGAAAGAGGAATATAGACTATTTGCAACAAAAACATGAAAATATTATATGTCAATGGTTAATTTATTAATTCACAACTTAAGATGTTAAGAACAAAAATTAGGTTTAAAGTCGTGACCTTTCCTGAAATGCTAAACCTACTTTCTTATCCATTATGGAGTATCCTCACGATATTTCGCCAAAGGTTTTGTTTTCAATTATTGGCTCTACGTGGGAAAGCTTCAATACTATGTGGCACTTGGATTGCATACTCGAAGAAGTCTGTCAAGCTATTCCATTATCTACATACAATTTTCTTAGATATAAATAGTCGAAAATATCAACTGCTTTCACTAACTTCTAGAAATTCTCCCTAAACTATGTCAGATTAATGCTTTATCAAAAAAACTAACTGTTAATGCTTTATCAAAAAAAAAAAACTATGTCAGATTAATGTCATGATATACTTGTTAAATTAATATCAAATTATTACATTGAAATTTTGAATTTAAATATAGAAAAAAGAAAAAATTGCAAACAAAAATTACAATTTGAAAAAACAACCAAATAAAATAAATACAATTACAAAATCTTATAAAATTAATGGTAAATTTATTTTTCTTTGTGTGAAGTATTTGCTGAAAAAAATTTAACCTAAAACAATAAAAAAAATATTGTGTTTGGGTTAGATTCAACTTTTATTTAGTATTAATTGTGAAAACAAATTGAACATTGATAATCTCTAATGACCAAATGAATTCAAATGGCTGGATACCATATCTGGTTAATTTTGTAATTAATATGCCAAGATACACACAATCGACTTTCAGAAATTCGTGTGGAGATTTATAATCTGCAGACACGACCTTCCATATGAAATCATCACCGATAACGGCTCTCAGTTCACCTTAGGAATTTTCGAGGACTTATGCGCCCGTTGAAAAATTAGGCTAAGTAAATCCACTCCCATATACCCGCAAGGTAATCTAATCGATTTTTTAACTAATCTAGGTTTAATGCATTTGAATTAATAAAAAAAAAAAGAGAATAGAAAACATATCTTTGTTTTTATTTTTCTTTGTGTAATGTATTTGTTGAGAAAGCTTTAGTATTGTTATTATAATTATTATTATCATTTTTTTTCCTAATAAAAAATCGATTGATTTATATTAATCTCTAACAACCAAATGAATTCAAATGGCTGGATACCATGTCCGGTTAGTTTCACAATTAATATAAATCTAATCGATTTTTTTTAATTAATCTAGGTTTAATGCATTTGAATTAATAAAAAAAAAAGAGAATAGAAAACAGATCTCTTGACATCTTTTTGCTTTCTGAGTTTCATTTTATAGAAAAAGTTTTAACCTGAAACAATTACAAGAAATAATATCAGATTCTATATTTGGGTTAGATTTAAGTTTCATTACTATTATTATGATTATCATTTTTTTCCTAATAAAATATTGATTGATATATATTAGTTGTGAAAACAAATTGAACATAAATAATCTCTAAGGACCAAATGAATTCAAATGGCTGGATATCATGTCCGCTTAATTTCACAACTAATATAAATCTAACCATTTTAAAATTAATCTAAGTTTTAATGTGAATAAATACAGAAAAACAAGAATAAAAAACATATCTGAGTTTTTTTTGAAGAACTTCCGTATCTAAACGAACTCCGTTGTCTTTGTGAATCACCGTGCTGTGGAAAGTAGAGCAAGTAACAGAGTGTTAAGGACTGCATCAGATCCGGTTTATACAAGATATGAGCTTTTTGCTTTTGTTAATGTAAAAGAAGGTTTTTTGTTTACCGAGCGTAGTAGTTGCCGAATGCTTTTCTTGAGAAAGCATCAAACCGCATCTGAGAACCTATCTTGTATTTCCTTTCCTGCACTGCACAATAAACAACCTTTAAACACGCGGGAAATCGGCTTGAGATTTCAAAAGAAAAGCAAAACAGAGAATGAAATTTACCAGTATTCCTCTCCGGTTTTCCGACACAAGGTCCCGCAGTCAAACCAGGTTTCGCAGCTGTATGATTCTGGAACACATCAAAGATGTTTATTACTTTTACGCTTGAATAAAGAGAGCTCCAATTATTATGCTGCGTGCGAAGAAAATAGAGGCATATCAGAATGGCATGAAACCAACTAACCAAGTGTTTTATGCATATATACAGTATTTATGTGGGTAAAGAAGAAGGAAGCTCCATACCTGCTTAGACACTTCTGTTGAAGCCAATGAAGATGTCTCCTGCTTAGACACTTCTGTTGAAGCCATTGAAGATGTCTCCGCATGTTAGCTAGCCCTAGCCATTGTTTCAAGATGAAAATCCTGCAACGGTAATATATATGAGCCCCCCTTGTATACCAAAATTACAGGTTTGTTTCTAAAATGATGTTACTCTCTGCTAAGGTGTGACTAGCTGAAATTCTGTCAGATGTGGTGTGCTTCTTTGTGGCGCAGGCAACGCTGGAGCTGCCAAAACCTGCATCAAATAAGACAAGACATTATTCTTGTGTTTCAGGCTTTTGAAGTGCATACGCCAAAACCAATGTTAAGAAGACCTTGTCTTGTGAAGCAGAGTTGTTGGGTTTAGATTGAGAATCTAGATAAATCAATGATGAGGAGGAAACAGTTTCAATCATGCAGTGAGAAATGAAGTTGAGTAGCAGATATTGTAAAAACTTTTGGCTCACCTAGCTTTTGCCTTTTGATGGCTTTGGTTTTCCTGAATCAGATCAGCGGTGACAGTTAACAGTCGTTTCTCTGCAGTGAGGCATGAACAAACACATAACAAAACGATTACCAGAGGAACTTGAAACAATATTTGGGTATCAGAATGGTCAATAAGAGTGTCAGCTACCTTTTCGCACTTTTCTTATGACTAAATGCAGATGGATTCCTCAGGAGACTCGCTATCTCTCTAGCAGTTTGCTGCTTCCTCAGAAAAAGTATTAGAACAGCCTCTCATCTCACTTAACGTCATTACATTATCTCCCAAGAACGATAAAGAACCTTGCATCTGCCTTCTGACGGATCTTTATCCTGCAAAATGAGCATATTCTGAAAAATTAAAAGTTGAATCTTAGGCAATACTTTCCTGCTTGTAATGTATATAAATTATACCTTGACTGAAACAAAACCTTAGCGCTTTTTCTTCTTCTTCATTGAAGTTGCACATGGTCTCTCTACCTTGAATGATCTCCTTGCTTTGATTCTAGGAACCGAAGCTGCACGTACAAAAAAAACTTAGTTATCGACTATACGCACACTTGTTCCCCAATTCCACGATTCTTCAGATGAAATCCCTAATCAAAGATTTTATTAAAGTGTGCAAATCCCTAATCAAAGATGATCTTCTTCAATCGAGAGATTTTTGTCAACGTTCAAATCCTAATTTCGCTTCTCACGACCCACGAAATTAGAAATCCAAATCACAGATCTAACAACGAATACTATCACCCATCTTATTCTGAAACCTCGGGTTCTACAAATCAAACACATACACACACAAAAAGCGACGAAAACAAAGAGAGAGCAAAGAAACTCACGTGAGGGAGAGCACAGCTTAAAGCCGATTCAAACCAGAGCTCTGGTCGGCGAGCCTCATCCTCCGTCTCTCCGTTAATGAAATTGAACCATCACAACGCTAAGAACTCATACGTCTGGTCAATCATCGCCGTCACAGCACTACCAATTGGTTTCTCTGCCCCTTTCATATCGTAAATCACAACGCCGAGTTGAGTCACAGAAGTAGGAGATAAACAATTGAAGAGAATCTGGATTGAATTAAGGTTTTCTTTCTTGGTTCCGATGGAATGTGTCTATAATCAGATTAAAAATAAATAAAGAAGAAGAAGAAAGATATCACAACGGTCATATAAGTCGTTTCACAAATTTTCGAATGTGGAGGAAACTATACATACTTAACGGTCATAAAAAAATTTCAGCCAATGTTCTTATTCCGTATCTTTGAAACTGTGTCGTTTCCGATGCTTATCTTCCCTTGTTTAACGGCATCGTTTCGTAACCAATTAAAATTTGTTTTGAACTGATTGGAAAAGGCAGTTACCATATTTCATAAGCACATTTCGTGAACGGGAAACTTGGCCAGTGTTTTTAATTACCATATTTTTTAATTATTGTTATTATTAATAGATATAAGTCGTTTCACAAATTTTCTAAAAATAATAAAAAAAAATCTACGATTTCCAGCGTTAGGGTAAATCTTGTTTAGTTATCATTTTTTTCACCATATTAAATTAGATTCTTACACCCACTATGTTTAGATAGAAATATTTTGCAGGCTTTGTGACATCCAGTGGAAAGACATGGACATGAAGAAGATAAATGCGGGTTGGTGAGAGTACTAAATGCCATTTATGTGTGTGTGTTTACTTTGACAATAGGTTATAGGTGTTATACAAACGCATGTTTACATATTATTTCAAGCTAAATAAAATCAACTCTTTATAATTTGTATCTTAACTTTTTATTATTATAAAGGTCTAGACTAGATTAAAAGTGATAGATGCGATTGATATTACTGGGATTTGCAAAACCGAACCGTTTGGATTTGGAAGCGAATGAGTTTGTAGAGCAATGCTGATTGGAAAATACATTATGAAAAAAATTATGATAGTTTCTAATTTGCTAATACACAAATATTTATTCTTGTACGAAATGATCAGTTATGATAATTGTGTAGTCATATCACTGCCAGATTTAATGTAATGAATGCTGCTGCTGACCATTCTATTTTTCTTCTCCTTATTCTCCTCTTACGTGTTACGTCTCCCACTTTTACTTAATTCTCTTAGGTCTTAACAATAAAAGCTCAGAGAGAGAGAGAGAGAGAGAGAGAGGAAAGAAGAAGAAGAGTAATACAGAGAGATAATTCAAGCTTTTTCTCTTTCTCAGTTTTGTAATATGGAAATTTTATCTACACGTTATGCAATGAAACGAGACGTTGTAATCATTGTAATCTTTACAATCTTAGTTTTCATAATTTTGTCGCGTTCAAGTTCGATCGAAGCTGGAAGATTCAGCAGTACAAAAAGAAAACATGATTTGAGCGTTGCTCGATTACAAAATTACAAGAATCATCACGAGGTTGTGATCACGGAGATGTCACTGTTTAATAAATTCAGACGAAGATCGCCTAAAGATCGGAGAAAGATTGACGGAGGCCAAGAAGAAGAAGAGAAGCGATTAATCCCCGCAGGTCCAAATCCTTTGCACAACAGGTAGATCAATGAGAGATGCAAACATACTTTGACTTCATAAATTGTTAGTTTGGTATATATATGTTAATTAGTTTGATTTTCAGATTAGTATTAGAAAGCATTTTTATGCAATATATATTTACAACTTTCATTCCTCGTAGGATTAATATTTTCTTGGGAAAACTTTTTAGGTTGGGTGTGAAAATCTCGTCTTTGTGAGGCATTTTTATTAATTTAAATTTCGTAACCATTGTGGCGAAAAAGATATCATGGAGTTGAATAAGTGTCGATATAAAACTTTTTGAGGAGAACTGTTGTTGTGATGATTATAAAACCCCCACAAACAATATATTAATAATTGTAGTAAAACGTAAATAAATTGTTGCTCAACCGAGAAGAAAAAGTCTTTCAAGTTCAAGATCACGAGTTCTAGCAACAGCAATAAAGAATAAACTAATTAATCTACTCTTATTTTCGGCGCCAAAAAAATATCTATTTTGTTGAGATGCAAAATTTATTCCGAGTTCTTACAAAAAATGAACAAAATAAGAAATAATAAATCAAACAAAAAATATAGAAAGGTCAGATTCTTTTTTAAGTTGGGTGGTACCAATTCAATATAGGACTTAGCTTCAAAAATACAAGGTTCGATCAGATATTTTGCATTATAAACACGTTTCTGAAGCAGATTTCTGTTATTGAAAAGCCAATTAAAGATAACTATATGATATATTGTATAATATATATATATATATGAAACATAGTATTCGACATTTTTTAACGTGTAGAAATCTTCAAAACTTCAAATACAAAAATTGGGACTAAATAACAAAATTATAAATTGTAAACGGTAACTTTAATTGGACATTTTTTTGGTTTAATGAACATCACACTATATAATTGGATTTGAAGGAATAATACAGTGTCAGAGTTATAAACTTATATAGTAGTAATAAAGAAGGATACATTTAATTTTTTTCTGATAGGTGGTATGCGTCCATTAATATATCTCCATCACTTTCAAAGCAATACATAAAAATATAACATTACATATATATATATATATATATTACTTTAAAAAAAAAAGATTTAACCCCACAAAATGGTTTCTCCAAATTTGAACCCCACACTGGGCCACTGGCTCATTCCTTCCTTCGCCTCACCTTTGACCAGCCGCCCATCCGTTTCAGACTTTCAGTCTTTCGGTGTATATCAGGTTTCTTTCTTCTTCTTAAACTTACATTAATCATAGTTAAACACTATCCTGATTTCAGATTTAAAGAAAAACATTATATCTAATTTCAAAACTCTTAACCATCTGCTTGTAACTAGTCACTTAAGACCCACATCATATTCCTGTTTATTGTTTTTTTCCCTCTGTTGATTTATTATTTTTGTTTTAACACAATAAAGAGCAGTTATTATTGTGGTTACAAAACCATTTACAGTGGCACCAGGAAATTTCGTTCTTCTTTCAAGACAAGATTAAAAGACCACTCTGAATCGTTGACTTAGGAACACACTTGCAAAATTTTGTTCATATATGTGTGGGTCAGTGGGTGTAATAATATATCTTCATACATTGCTATAGGCCTCTTATCAAATTTGGAGTATATATGAAATTTTAAGATTTTGAAAACATATTGATATGTTTCAGACTGATTTATAGAACTAATTACGGTAAAAAAAAAAAAAACGGAATCATATTAATTAGTCAAATATATGTATTTTTAACAATCTAATAGCGAATCCATTGATTGATCTGCATACAAAGATCAGACCGGATAAACAAAATGTTTGTTAAAAAAAAAAATTTATAACAATTTGCTAAAGTTAGGCCAAACTAAAACGATAAAGTTTATCACAGCATCTTCAGAATTCAATAAGTCAAATTTTAATGTCTTGGTGTACACTGTAAAGTACAGAGAGTCCTGTCTGCTTCAAACGCAGCAGAAGCAAACAAACACAACTTAAATCTTCAGCCGTCGATCCAAAAACCAGATACCCACGTTAATCTGAGCACTAAACGTGAACATGGACCTTAACGTAGACGATAATAGCTCTAGAAGCAAAACTCATTACTTTAAGTGGAAGCTCACTTTTCACCACCCTTGTCGTCTGTCCATACGTCATTACGATGACGTCACCGTCCTCTTCTTTCACAGGAGGCGTTGAAGCACCTTCCTAGTATCTACCCTGAAATTGCTTGTCATATAAGTAGTAAAATAAATGTTTAATATAACTTATCTCTTAATTATCTTTCTTTAGAAAATTAATATAATTTCGTACATTAATATATATTTATATAAATAAAAGACCATTCAACTCTTTGTCTCCTCCCCCTCCTTCACTTGCTCTACTAGTTCTTAGATGCTTTAAGATCTCTCTATCTATCTCTCTCTCTCTCTCAATCTTTGTTTTTCTCTCTTATAACCAAAAAAAAAGAAAAAGAAAATGAATATCTCTCAAAACCCTAGCCCTAATTTCACGTTCTTCTCCGATGAAAGCTTTATTAATAATCCTTTTATGGATAACTTTGATTTCTCCAATTTGATGTTCGATGTTGACGAAGGAGGCAATAATAGATTGATCCAGGAGGAAACTTCATCTCCGACAAGCATCGTTTCGGAGACATTCACCGGAGAAAGCGGTGGATCCGGCAGCGCAATAACGACGTTAAGTAAAAAGGAATCAACGTGAGTTTTAGTTAATATTTGTTGGCTAGATTCTTAACCAAACATACCCTTTTATTAATTAAATGATTTTCTATTATTAGTTTCGATTGCAAAAATAGGGGAAGTAAAGATGGTGAGGCGAAGGACATGGGTCATAGAGTTGCATTTAGAACGAGATCAAAGATTGATGTGATGGATGATGGTTATAAATGGAGGAAATATGGGAAGAAATCTGTCAAGAACAACACTAACAAGAGGTAATCAATTAATTAAAAACTTTAATTACTCATTTCATTTAATTGTCTATTTTCATTTAATTGCATGCTGATTCATAATATCATTATTAGTTGTTTTTTTTTTTAAATTACCATATGGCTGCTTGAACGTTTTCTATAATCATCTTGTAATTCTGATGTTATAGAATAGCCACTAACTAGATCATGTAGTGATTTGAATACTGTTTAATGGTCCCGTATATCTACCAACCCACTTGGATAAAATACAGATTCTATATGCATCCTTCTGTATCTTTTTGTTTATATATACACATATCTTTCTGATTGATTTGTGGTAAATTGACTCTAATCCATGGGTGTTAATCATTCTTCATACATACATTATTTTGGCTTCTATATCATAGAAGAAGAAACAAAACAAATCGCCCACACATATTTTGGAGATCAGTCTCGACTTTGAATTAGCTATCATCATTCCTTATATAGTTTATTTGTGGGTTGTATGTATATAATAGTAGTTAAATTTAATAAATGATGAATGAATTAATGTGAATATGTATATATATACAGGAATTACTACAAATGCTCAAGTGAAGGTTGCATGGTGAAGAAGAGAGTAGAGAGAGATAGTGAAGATGCAGCTTATGTGATTACAACCTATGAAGGAGTCCACAACCATGAGAGTCCGTCACATGTCTATTACAATGACATGGTTTTGTCTTATGATCATGATAATTGGAACCAACACTCTCTTCTTCAATCTGTCCACTTATCTCCTCCATCATGAGATTGTTAGATACATACTACCATCATTGTAATATCAATGCATCGCCTTGTGTAATTTTATAGGTATAATAAAGAATTTAATTATTTCGCGGTTATAATTGTTTGATATATGTGTATATGACGAAACTGTTTGTAGTTATTTAGATATCAATATTAGTGTATAGTTGCAAATTTGCAGTATCATGAAGGAGTCCACAACCGTGAGAGTATAAGTATATAAAATATTAAAATATGTTGAATGTTTTATTTTAATTAAAGGATACACAACAACGCAATGTATCTCTCTGCAAGTGGTAAGAAGTACTAAGAACTAGTCTTTTGTATTCAAACAGTACTTGATTACGATTTACGAACAATATATATTTTATTTTTATCATCAGTTTGTCACTGATTCAATTTTTTGATTGATCCAAAATTTTATTAGCTAAACAGCTAGGTCAATTTATGTCTTATATGTATGATTTCGCAGATAATTTCGTACCTTAAGCCTATCCGATTCCGTAGCATGCAAACAGAAATAGTAACTGGTATAGCCTTGTAGGCGTCAGCGTCAGTTTGATTTATGATCCGGTTTAGTTGTTATCAACTGTTTCGGTTTAATTGTTACCGATTATTGGTTTAACTATGGATTTTGATCGATTTGATTCATGATTCGGTTTGGGTGTTTTTTGCGTGAACACAGTACCGAACCGATCTCATCTTCTACCTTTTAGCAACTTAACGCAGGAAAGGAAGTCGTTTCATTTGTTCTTCCGCCCAAATCTCAAACACTACTTTTTAGTAATTTCGAAGGAAACCCTCTCTGATCCCGATCCAGATTTACTTCACTTTGCAATTCCAGATTTATTCGAGGAGGATGACGAACCCTACTCGATTGATTTCGGTGGAGAAATAGTTTGATTCTGTCTGACGTTGGCGATTCATCTGAAATCCTTGGTTGCACCCGTAGATCCGCTGCTTCTCTCGATCGATTTCGGTAACCTTTAAGTTTTGACTCCGTAGAATTTCTCGCAAGAGGAAGGTGAAGAATCTGCGCCCCCAGATTGATTTCCGGGGATTTAGATTAGTCTCGGTGTGATATCGCTTCGGCAATGTCATGGTGATTGACTCATAGAAATCATCCATTGTGAGGAATCAGGGGCTGCTTATGAGTGTTTCTGGAAGCTGCGTCTTCTGGTTTTGGATTGGAATCGGGACTCTGGAACTTGATTGAACAGTGTTGGTTTTGTTTTTTTTACCTAATCGAGTGATTAAGCAAAAATGAAGTTTTGGAGGGAACGAGAAAGAGAAAACAAAGAGCAGGTCTTAGCGCCATTATGTGGGCAAGTTCGAGTATTGGTGGTTGGTGATTCAGGTAATTACAAGTCCTAATCTCTTGTAGATTTGTTAGATTTTGTTGAATTAGGATACTCAGATTGATTGATGATGATACACAGGGATACTGATCATGTGTGACTCAGGAAGATAGATCCTTTTGCATTGAATTGGACCATTAGGTTAGGAGTATCGTTTATTTCAAACCTGAGATTTTAGTATCTTAAGTTCGTAGAGGCTGTTACTTACTGTGTTTGCTTTTGCTCATGAGTCATGAAAAGATGTCAGTCTTGATCCCAAAACTGTGAAAATATTCATCTTTGAATCTCAAATCTTTTTGTCAGGTGTCGGGAAAACATCACTTGTACACCTCATCAACAAAGGTTCTTCTACTGTTCGCCCATCTCAAACGATTGGATGCACAGTTGGTGTCAAGGTAACTTAACCCGTCTCAGATGTTGTCAAAATGGTTAGGGAGCTCAAGTTTTGAACCCCTTTTATTTTTTTCTCTTACTTTTCTATGGGGCAGCACATAACTTACGGAAGTCCAGCTAGTTCTTCGAGTAGCATTCAAGGAGACTCAGAGAGAGACTTCTTTGTTGAACTCTGGGATGTATCAGGGCATGAGAGATACAAAGACTGCCGCTCGTTGTTCTACTCACAAATCAATGGTCTCTCTCCCACTTATACCCATGTAGTTGTTCATCCTTATTGTGTCTGAAACATTGTCATAAAGCAAGGGACTTTATATGCAGGAGTTATATTTGTTCATGATCTGTCGCAAAGAAGAACAAAAACAAGCTTGCAGAAATGGGCGTCTGAGGTTGCAGCGACTGGAACATTCTCAGCACCTCTTCCCTCGGGAGGCCCTGGTGGTCTTCCTGTTCCATACATTGTTGTTGGCAACAAAGCAGATATTGCTGCAAAAGAAGGAACAAAAGGAAGCAGTGGAAATCTTGTTGATGCAGCTCGTCATTGGGTCGAGAAGCAAGGTTTGCTTTCCTCAAGCGAGGAACTTCCTCTCTTTGTAAGCTTTCCTGGTAATGCCGGTCTCATAGCGGTAAGTAACTAGTTTCTCTTAATAGAATTCTTGTATTTTTTTTATTTATTTATATGATCTGATGAGGGGTTTTGCACAGGCCGCTAAAGAAACCAGATACGATAAGGAAGCTTTGAACAAGTTTTTCCGGATGGTTAGTGTCATTTAAACACACCTTTGTGTCTGGTTACATCGTCACTGTACTCTTCTCTTAACCCGATTAAACCATTTTTGTGGCTTTCTGCAGTTGATAAGACGAAGATATTTCTCAGACGAACTACCAGCAGCTTCACCGTGGTCTGTGTCGCCGATTGCAGCCTCATCATCCCAACGGTTAGACGAGATCACAAGTGATGACGATCAATTTTACAAGCGAACAAGGTAACAACAACAGTGCGAAAAGCAAACATGTTTCTTGTGTTGCCCCTTAAACCGCTGATTTGGTCTTAAATGAGTATGTGTTGCAGTTTACATGGAGATCCTTACAAGTACAACAACACGTTGCCTCCACTTCCAGCACAACGCAACCTAACTCCACCTCCTACGCTCTATCCGCAGCAGCCTGTGTCTACTCCTGATAACTACGCTATCCCGAGATTCTCTCTTTCGAGTGTACAAGAAACAAGCAACAATGGGAGTGCCAGATCTAAGCGAATGGATATTAACGTTTGAAAAATCTCTTTATCCTTCCAAAAAAAAAACGTCTATTATTCTTTTTGATCTTTCCATTGGTTTCTTCTTTCTTTCTGGTAAAGTGAATATGTGTGTAAACCTCTTTTGGACTGTTCTTATAGCAAATTCTTTCAATGTGGTTTTTCTTTTTTGGTTATCATGTACTACTGTTTGAAACAGAATATAAACAGTGAATGGTGGTTACAAAATCATATACTAAGGTTTGTTGATAAATAAGTTGGATTTAATATAATTATTTGCGTCTGTTTCAGTAGTGTACGAGAGATTTATACCCAAATCTGATGTGAAAAATTGTGATATTACAAATAAGAGAAATTTTTGTTCACTTTTTGGTATATAAAAAGTTGGAGGAATATAAATTTGAAAGATTCCGTAGAGTAAAACGGAGATAGAGCTACAGAGTTCGGGCTTAGGACAGCTTCATAGCCCGAGAGAAGAAGACAAGGAAGAAGGTATGTGAATTTCCCTTTCCATGGAATCTTCTACTCTTTTAACCCTCTGAATTCTGGGTTGGTTGCTACAAAAAAACCCCTAAAATTTAAGTGTCTCTATCTCTTTGCGCAAAAACCCTAAACCCTGTGAATTGTGAGATTTCGTGCTTCAGTAGCTTGTTAAATCTGTACCATTTGCTCGTCTTGTTGATTTCAGTTTCGATTTCGATTGGTTTCCGTTTATGTTTCGTAATTGTTCGTAGGGTAAAATTGGTAATTGATTCTCCTCAAATGAAAGATTGGATTTTTAAATTTTAGTTACGAAGATATCAGATTATAATCTTCCTTAAAAAGGACAAGCTTTTGTTTAACTTTGTGTTCTTCTTGATCAATTTATGTAATGCGCGCAGTGTTGGAAGCTTTTAAGTTGAGAACTAAAGAAATGGTGGAAGCATGGTGGCCACTGTTAGCAGCTGCAGTGCCTGCGGTAATTGCAGGCCAAGCATGGAGGATAACGAAGAGACGGGGCGAGGAAGAGAGGATCAAGAGTGCTCGAGGAAGAGAGAAGAGCTCTGATGAAATCTTTGTCTGTGAAAGAGTCTGCACTTCTAAGAGAATGCTGAAGAAAGTTGGAGCCTTCTCCAAAGACCCGATTCCGGACACTTGTGTCACCGTCTGCGGCGTATCTGAGCTCGACGCTTGCTCTGATGCTTGTGCTCGAACCGTCTGCGTTAACCAGCATCAAGTTGCTAACTGGAATGACATCTGTCTTAGGAGATGTCAAAGTGAGTGTCTTAAGCTCTCTTCTTCTTCTTCTTCTTGAAATGTTTTAGAATTCCAATCTCTCTTTGTGTTGTTTGAACTATGAATTGGTTCCCTTTGAAATGGAAATGATATTGAATCTGAATTTTTTATAAGTTATATAACAACCTTATGAGCGATTACATTTCATCATGTGAGGTTTGTTTGGCAACTTTCTCTGCTGTTTTGTGAACTACTTCTCCTACGACACCTCCTGCTAGTTTTGCAGACTCTTCGATGGCTTCTTTGCTTACTTCGAGACTTCTTGTCGCCGCCTCTTTCACTTTCTCTCCTTTATCTTCTCCTTCTTCCCCTCTATTGCTTTTTTCGCTGTTGCTTCTGAAACTGTCACAGACAAAACAACAATACACATGAGCCCCCCCAAAAAACTTAAATTTTTTATGGAATATGAGTTGCTTACTCTAGATTTGGAGGGTAAAGCTTCATCTGGATCATCTGCATTGCACCTCGAATCAATTCCCAAGAACTCGGAGGAAATTTCTTGCCAAATATCCCAAATATGATCTTTAAAAGTGACGGATTCTCTTCTTTCTTGGCGACATCATCGTTTTCCGCTCCTTCTGCAGCTACCGGTAAAATCTCCACAGAGATAAAGAAGATGATGACGAAGAAGAATGAGAAACCTAATCTGATTCTTCTGGATTCATCCATGTCTATATGTTTTGTTTAAAAAGCTTCAGAGAAATCAAGAAAGGGTCCAAAAAGAAATGATAGAAGACTGAGATGAGAGAGAGCTGGCGCCATGTTTCTCGCATCAAGAGATGCAGAAGCACACTTTTGGTTTGAACGGTTCTTGCGCTAACACCTTCATTGACTTTAATTCCAAAATAAATCGTATAAATGCATCTGTCTTTCAATTAATTAAACATTAACCATTTTTACAAAACAAAAACAAATTGGTCTGTCTCTGTATCGCATACAAAAAAAAAAAAGACTTGAGTAGCCTCTGTCCTGAACCAGTCGAAGAGGATATTTCCATGGCGCATTTGACTTCATGATCAAAATCATATCTTTGTCCAGATTCTTAGCTACAATCACTTCAGCACATCTTTTCAAGCAATCAAAGGATTCGTCAGAGGAAACTTTTCATTTGAAGAAGCTAGAATGATCAATATTCATCGGTTTCTCATACTGTACTGCTACACACTCCTCAGCAACAACCCAGTCGCCATTCACCGCGTTTGCGCAGCACTACAAACAGTTTAACAATAAGCTCCAAAATGCTTTATAAACAAAAAAAAAGTATGTTCTTGAAGGATTTACTTAAATCATTGGAATATATATGAGATCCCATAAGAATAATATAATGTACCTTGGAACAAGTGTAAACAATAAGTGTCATCCAATCCCAGTTATCCAATGACTGCTTAAGCTCTTTATCAACAACAGCTTCATGTAGAAAAAATATTAAAGGCGGCATGAGCTGCATCTCAAAGAGCATTGGAGAGTCGCAATGCCTGCACTTATCTGGAGATTTCAGGTCTTCTGTGGCCAGCAATGGCTTGCCTCCATATGAGTACCTGAACATGAGAGAAAAACTAGACCGATGTTGAGGAAGATCTTGAAGATAAGATAAGCTTGGATATACGAGTGGACTACAATTACCTGAAACACTGTTCCGGGTTTGCATCTAGCCGTTTCTTGAACTTAAGGTAAGTTCTATCTGCATTCAGGGCTCTGTCATATTCATATTTCTCATCCTCCCACACTTCTTCGGTTTCACTCTCATCATTGTTGCTGGCTTCTTTATCCTTAATGGCCATGGACGAATGTCTCATGTCTTTTGAGAGGTTCTCTTCCTTCGAGTAAATGTAGAAGCACGGAACCACCGCACCAGTCTCGACTTTGATTTGATTCATAACTCTTGTTTCGGGTTTCAAAGGCGAAGGCTTTGCTTTAGTCCCTGAACTAGCATTGCCACTTGGCTTTTTGCTCTTCGGTTTCTTCGTGTTGGAAGCAACAGTGGTAGCAGCTTCCGCGATCGCTTTGGCTAAACTCTCCAAATCAAAATCTTCATCGTCATCATCATCACCGTCTACATCGTCTAACCAATGAGATTTGGAAGCTGAATCCAGAGGCGAGGCGACAGACAAATCACTTGTTTCTTTCTCTTGTGTAGCTTTGTGAACGCTAAAAGCTCTCCAGCTGAAGCAAAATCAATTGAGACATTAAGGAACAAGTTTCACGCCTTGATCAGAGAATCAGAAGGGGGAAAAGAAAAAAAGAGAAAGACAAAACCTTTGCTCAGAAGTTCCACACTTAGGCATCAAGCAACCAAATATATAGAGCGTACGCTCTTTGATGTCCGCATTTTCAGTTGAGATTGGAGCGTACACCTACATACAGAGAAAGAAGAAATCGTAGTTTATATATATATATATATATATATCTGAAAATTCAAATCCTTCAAAAGAATCAGGTTCTTAAACATTAAAAACTAAAAACTTTTGATTCGGAAGCAGAACCTGAGCTACAAGAGAAAGTCTACTTCCACATGAACAACAGTTGAGAAGTTCTTGTGTCAGTGTATCATCGAGTAATGGTGGCCAATCCTAAAATCAAGACACGATCAATACCCAGAAGGAAAGAGCTGAAATTTCTGGGAAGAAAGGATGAACAGAGAGAGAGACGGTAAGGGATTTTACCGGAAGACCGCCGATTTTTGTTGTGTAGTAATCAGAAGACTCGAGCTCGTCTTCTGCCCAATTCCCAGGCAAGCCCAGAAGAATACCGACCATGATTACAGTTCTCCAATCAAGGCAGAGCAGAAAACCTCCGTAAAATTAAACTATTCGAACACTCGTTTTGTCGAACTAGCTTTTGCTGATTGAAAGTTCGAACAACACTGTGGATGAAGGAAGAGCCCGGTCAGGGTTATGAGAGAACCGGTTTTCTATTAAATATTATCATCTGATGGTTTACTTGGCTCAGGTTCGGTTCGGCTCGGTTCGTTTGGGTTCACAAAAAAAAATAAAAGAGAACTTCTTGATTCATGTCACTAATACTGATGATCAGCAGCATCTAATCCATTTTTGAGACAGTAAAGTTTCTTAATCTACCCAATGGGGCTCAAGTGTTTAGAAACATTAACACTCTCTGCATTTTCTAATAGTAATCTATATATACATTCCACAAGAACAGATGTTGGGACTGACTGTAAGAAGACTTTTGTTTTATAAAATCTGACGCTCCTTTCAGTTATCAATCTTCAGTTCCATCTCTTAGAATTTTTGCTGGCCTTTGATTTCTGTTTAGCCTGTTGAAACGCTTGCATCTTCTGCTTCTTCCTCGCTTCTTTCTCAGCTTTTGACATCTTCGACTTTGCCTTCACTTTTGGCGCTTTCTCTTCAAGCTCTGCTTCTCTCTCTAGCTCCTTTGCTCTCGCGTCCAGATTCTTCTCCAAGTAATACTGGTAAAAGAATTCACAGAATCAATATATGCAACAAGAGAGGAGATCAAATTACTATAATAGCAAAAGTAAGAGAAGTGTACATTGTAGTCGCCTGCATAATCTTTCAAGCAACCATCTTCGACTTCTATGACTCTGTTGACGATTTGTTTGATGAAGTATCGATCGTGGGAGACTGCGATGACTGTTCCTTGGTACTCGTTTATCGCTTCCTGAATCATACAAAAAAACCGAGAGGAGGATTAGCCTCTCCGAGTCCAACAACAGTGTTGCTATCAATGTATCCAAAAGAAACCAAAGAAGCCGAACCTCGAGCATTTCTTTCGAAGGGATGTCTAAATGATTGGTCGGTTCGTCCAAAACGAGTAGAGTCGATGGGGTCACCATGAATTTGCAGAAAGCAAGGCGCGCTTTCTCACCGCCGCTTAAAAGAGAGACCTTTCGATCAAGCATGTCAGCTTTGAAGTTGCAACGTCCAAGAAGACCTTTTATATCATCACTTCTCCAGTCTTCTGCAGCTTCACAAACTGTTTCAAGCACTGTTTTATCCAAATCAAGAACCTCCGCCTATCCCCAAAAAAAACAGAAAATCATGTGAATAAAGTGACAAAACCTATCGCAGTTTTGTGCCAGTGAAACATACCTGATTCTGTTCAAAGTAGTTTGGCAGTACATTGTGCTCTCCAAGAATGACTTCACCTTTCATAGGCTTTTCTAAACCCATAATTAGCTTCAACAAAGTGCTTTTCCCGCACCCGTTAGGGCCAATGATGGCGATCTTCTCTCCTCTTTCTATTGATAAATTAGCCTTCTTAAATAGCATCTGCTTTGCCAAAATGTACACAATGTTTCATTCACAGGGTCAAACTTGAGCAGTAAAGGATTTTTCTTATTGTCATGAATCTCATTCTATAAAAACTCTCACCTTATCCTCGAAACCAAAGTCAATGTTTTTAACCGTGACAACCGATCTTCCACTTGTTCCACGCTCCGGAAACCTAATTTTCATCTGCTTCCTTTGAAATGGCTTTTCTATTTGCTCCTGTTCTTGAAGCTTCTCTAGTTTCTGTTATTAAACAACACAAAAGGGAAACATAAGCTTAAACTTCTCAAAACCAATTCACAGATCATAAAAGAGAAAGCCAGAATAGTGACATAACAGTTTATGCTAAGGAAAGTGTAGAACCATTTCAATGGCTAATGACGCCACAGCAATTTATAAGCTTTCTTTTGTGTTTGCACACCTTTTCTGCAGTAGAAGCACGGCCAGAATTTGCTCCGGCACCAAGCCTAGCGATTAAGTCTTTTGTTGATTCAATCTCTTTCTGCTGCTTTTCCCAAGCTGCATTCTGAGTTTCGATCCACGCTGCCTTTGAGATCACATACTGAGAGTAATTACCCTCGAATGTCCTCGACACTCCCATCTCAGTTTCCACAATCTTGGTACACAGCTGATCAAGAAAGGCCCTGTCGTGTGAGATTATAACCATAGGCACCTCTTGCTTTTGCAAGTAACCTTCAAGCCACTCGATAGTATCAAGATCCAAATGGTTTGTAGGCTCATCAAGCAGCAGCAAATCTGGATCCTACTCACAGAAACACACACTATTCACATTAGCTTTCGAATTGGATTGAAAGGATGATAAAAAGACTAAGAAGATCAATCATATACCTGAAGCAAAATCTTTCCAAGTGACATTCTCATTTGCCATCCACCGCTAAACGAAGCCACGAGCCTATCTGCATCCTCTGGAGCAAATCCTAACTCCGGCATCAGCTTACTGACTTTAGCATCGACGGTGTCTAAATTCACGGCCTGAGCTCGTCTCTGCAACAGATCAAACTCGTCCAATAGCCTTCCCATAAGGTCCAAATCATCGACGGATCCTTCAATCGCCTTCTGCACTTTCTCAAGCTTCTCGGTTATCTCCATCTCTTCCTTGAAAGCGCTCATGAACTCTTCCTTCACCGTCCTGCTCATGGAAACCTCGAACTCCTGGCTCAAGAAGGCGACTTTCATATCGGGTTTGGCCTTGATTACGTTTCCTGAATCGGGTTCTTCCTGACCCGTGATAATCCTGAGCTGGGTCGTCTTCCCAGCTCCGTTCACGCCCACTAGCCCGACTTTTTCTCCTCTCTTCACCTCCCAGGTCACATCCTTGAGCACCGTCACGCCTTTGTAGCTCTTCCTTATGTTCTCTAGCTTCACACCTGAGGAAATCCCAGAGGCGCCGCTTTTCGAGCTCTTCCCGTTTCGTTTCCGATCGGAATCTTGTTGGGAGGTTGGGGTCGAGAAAAGGGATTCGATGTCGTCTTGACGCTCCTTCACCGACGTCTCGAGGCTGATTGTGGAGACTTGGGCTCTGATGGTGTGGGTTTCGCGTCTAGTGCTGGAAATGGAAGAGATTTTGATGAAATTGGATGTGACTGGGGATGGGCAAGGACGGAGACCCGTGAAGAAAGTGGAACGGAGGTCGAGGCTATGGAGGTTCGTCGATAGACCCATGGTTTCGTACGGAACTTGTAAGCGATAAGAGAGAAAAGTGTGGATTTTTCAGAAAAAGGATAGCAGCAATCTCGCGATGGAATCTCTCGCTCTACTCTGAGAAGAAGCAGAGGAAGAAACTCTCTCGAGAGAGAGTGCTTTTGATAAGAGTTTCTCTAACGTTGTGAGCCAGAAGATATAATAATAATTATTCGTTTTAATTTTTGTTTGTGATTCTTTTTGTCGTTAAGTTACGTATATACTTAACTAATTAGAAAGAAAAAAAATCTAAATAATTCCGAATGAAAATATTCATTAATTTTTTTCTTCAGTGTTCTTCAAGGTCAATATGTAGATATGATATGAAGAAAATAGACAAACCAACAAAAAAAAGAAGAATAGAGGGAAGAATAGATTTGTGGTTGTGGGAGAAGAGATGGTTGAAGAACGAAAGAAGATAACACTACGAAATCCAACTTTGCCTCTTTGTGGTTCACATAACTCCTTTGAATAAAAGATACTTCTCAAAATCTGCCACTTGTCTAACTACAACACCTGCCACGTAGGCTTCTCTGTGGATATCATTGCGCCACCATTTTTTTGGTTTTTTATTTTATTTTTCAAAGGTTTTTTTTTTATTGCTCGGAAATCCTTGAAAAGTAATAAACTAATCTCACGAACGTATGTAGATTTTATTTGGAGTACTATAGTTTAACCATTTTTAATAATATCCAAGTTATGCTATCAAATGAGTTTGTAATCGGCTCACAAGTCACAAACATTAAACATTAAGTTATGTTAATCGCCTCCATGATCATAGCTGACCTAAATAAGTCGTACTTATTTATAACTAATTGTAGGATAAATAGTCGGCGAGGTTTAATCTAAGCTAACGAAACACACATTCTAGTTACGGCTTTTCGTTTCTGTCAATTTGTTTTGGTAGTGGATTGTGTGTATTTCTGTAGGAGAAAAAAAACTGAAAATTATATACTGATTTGCTTAATTAGAAAATAATTGATTATATTTGAAAATTATTTGCCGGCCTGTCGAATCTAAAACCAGTATAAACTTATATGTTCAAAACACTGTAAGGTGTTACAATCAAAACGGCGTCGTTCGGAGAAGATGACGCGGATAAAGCGTGTGGGTGTCCCGGTGAATGGCATTATAGTAATTAATTTACAAAAGCTTACCTTTTGTCCGAAACTAAAATACGGAAATAAAAATATAATATTTGATATGTTTTGTATAGTATATCATCCAATCGAGCTGTTACTTTGCTGTATTAAATTTTCTTACTTTTCTTAGCTTATATACCTTCTCCTCCGTATCACACCATCTTGCTGCCTTAAAGATCATCTTTTTAAAAAATAAAATTAAAAAAAAGGAGGATTCTCTTCTCTCTTCAGTTTCGATCATATGGAAGATCCAAAGGAGGTTTGTGTCTTCTTCTTCTTCTTCTTCTTCTTCTTCTTCTTCTTCTTCTGTGCTGTTTCTTTTTCCCCCGGAAAACAAGTTTAACTGATGCATCATGATTCATCCCTTTACACAGTGAATTTCACAACTTGTTTTTGAATTTCTCTTTGAGGAAAATCAATCAAAGTTTTTATTTTTCAACTAGAATTCGAAGTTCGATGTGAGAAATTAGTCTGATAGATCAAATACTGAATTCGAAATCGTGAGTCTGGATTTTTTTTTGTTATTCGAAATCAAAGTTATTGAAAAAAGAGATTTTTTTGGTTGGCAGAACAAGAACTCGCCATGGCTATCAGTACCACAGTTTGGAGATTGGGATCAGAAAGGAGGAGCAATCCCTGATTACTCAATGGATTTCACAAAGATCAGAGAGATGAGGAAACTAAACAAGAGAGATCCTTCTCGAGCCAGTCTTGGCAACGAGGAAGACCTCATTAACCCTTTTCATAATCAACCCACTTCGGTTGATACTACTACTAAGCCTAAGCTCACGACGATTCACAGCGATAACAACAACCACAATGAGTTTTCTCACCATCGCCCACATTCTCCATCTGTAAGACTGCTTACTTACTTCTTTTCAATCTTAAAGATTCATTTTTTCGATGTGGCTCTAACTGAATTGAGTGATTGCTTGTGTTCTGGATTAGCCATGTCCCATTGATATAGCATTATATGGCTAAATGATCTATCAAATGTGTCATTACGCATTGTTTGTTCTAGTTACTTGTCCATGTTCATATTCGTCAAACTGTATATAACATTCATTTTTCTTGATGTGGGTGTATATGATCTGGGATCATTGATTGTCTTGAAACCGGTAGGTAGGTTAGGTTATAGAATCTAACTTTGTAGCTTTATGTGGTTAGGTTTTGAGTCACACATTGTTTGTTCTAGTTAGTTGGTCATGCTCGTGCCCCCCAAAGTTCAGATTGGATGATTGTGTTTGTGGATTATAGCTGTGTGCTCGCGTTTGATGTGGGCCTTAACTTCTTGGGTTGGTTAGGTTGTGGAATCTAACTCTGTAGGCATTATATGGCTATTTCTAGCAATTGGGTGATTGTGGTCCTTCAGTGTCTCGTCTTTTTAGTTGCTTGATGCTATTTATATCTCCACATGACATGATATTATCATCCCACCACACTTCATAAATCAGATTTTTGAGTTTCTATTAGATCTGGTGCTGGATTGGGTCTGATTGAGTTTTTATTTTCATTCAGAATGATATAACTCATTGTGAAAATTCATTTGAGTGATTGTAGTTAGGTGTGGATTCTCTTAACTCTTTCTGGATGAACACATTTAAATGTTTAAAACTAAAAAAAAAAAAAAACAGAATAGAAATTATGTTTTAATATAAGTTGTTGCAATGATTTCTTTTAATCAAAGTAAAGCATAATCCTTTACTATGTGGTTGTACCTACCAGTTTACTGTGTGAGCAGACAATAGATAATATATTATTTTTTGAGGGATAAAACATTCTTAATCTTACGTGTAAATGACTTGGAACAGACGAGGAGAGGAATCTTCAGCTGCTTCAACTGCTGCGCTAAAGCTTGAAGATATATTGAATATAGAGACGAGAGGAATCTTCAGCTGTTTCAATTATTTATAATAATAATGTTTTGATAAAGAAACGAGAAATGGTAAATGTGAAGTGTTTTTACACCTTTTCACACCGTTTCATATATATATATATATATATATATATCTGCGGAAGCAGCATTAATTAATCAAGTTTGTTGTTGTTTACTGTTATTTTACAAGGTGTAACTATGTTTTGGTAAATGTGAAGGAGCGTAGTTAACTTTTGTTGTGTGTGTGGTAATCTTCAATATTGTGTAATGCAGAGCAGATACTGTGATACATTGCTGTGATGCATTTAGATTGTAAAAAGATGGGTCGTGTTTACTGTTATTTTTCTTCAATTGTGTTTGCCATTGAACTTTCTAACACACATACGTTACGGTTTAATACGATGATCCTCGTAAACTCAATAGCTACATTAAATATTACTAGAAGGATAGATTATGTTTATTTTCGTAGAGGTATCTGAATTTATTTTACTACAACATAAAGTAAACTCCAAGTGTAGGATTCATCGTACGGTTTAGTAACAGTGTAAATAGCAGCCGAAAGATATACATTGCCATATATATTTAGAAAATTTGAAAGAGGAATGAACATCAAAGTTGATATGGCCGAGTTGGTCTAAGGCGCCAGATTAAGGTTCTGGTCCGAAAGGGCGTGGGTTCAAATCCCACTGTCAACAATTGTCTTTTTTTTCTTCAAAATATTTTGATAAACAAATCTTGTTACAGATTCAACTTAAGCCGTCGATCTAGACCCTTCTCCCATTGTTACAGAATCAACAAATTGATCTATCGGCTTCTCTGAGTTTGCATTATAGAAGCCCAATCAATTTTGAGTTTCCTCTGGCCTTCAATTATAAAGCCCAGCTCAAAAGGTTATTCTGGGTTTTACTTATTAGTACGTGGGTTTTCCTTTTGGTATAGCTTAGAAAGACGTTTGCTTAAACTTTGTTTTTTATTTTCGTCCCACATCGCTTAGCTAGATAGACGTTTGTCCTTTTCTAGTAGTATAAATAAGAGGACGAGCATAGCTTGCAATTCATACCTTTCTCGGCCTTTTGGCTAAGATCAAGTGTAGTATCTGTTCTTATCAGTTTAATATCTGATATGTGGGCCATCGGTCCACACGATATTAACTCTATTTTTTAAGGGGGAAAGCCCACCAAGATAGCTTGCTATCTGGGCTTTCACGAGTCGCCCATGCGTTGCACTACTGCAAGGGCGTGGCTCAACCCATCAAACAATTAGTTCAATTCGAAAATTTTTCTTTGTCCGCCGAGCTTATGCACCCGAGTTAAAGGTTGTGTCTATAAACAGATGTTGAAAATTTTTCTTTGTCCGCCGAGCTTATGCACCCAAGTTTATGATTAGTCGATTAGAAATTCCGCTCTCTAATGTAAACAGATGTTGTTTACTTAGGCGTGGAACGCATTATTCGAGAACTAAAACGTGTATTATTTCGATAAATGAACATAAATTACTAAGGAACGGTGATAACTAAAATGCGATATCATACACAGTCTAACCATCGATTAGCATTTTCAACAAAAGCATATACGCTTCGTTTTCCTTTATTTGGCATGTTACGAATTTATGAATGATCATAAAAACAGAAGACTCTTCCTCTTAATTTGCAAGGTGGGAAGATTTTCCTCAAAGCCGACCGTACAATGACAGTAGATCTCTGAGTCTGAGAGATTCCGTTTTCAGATGATCAAAGCTCGTTGAACTCGGAATCCTCCAACCCCAATTCCCCTCCTTTGAATATTTCACATGTACAAAACCAACAAAATCACATTTTAAGAAACAGATGGACTGACTGCGACAAAGAGCAGTAACAAACAAATATTTGGTTAATATTTCCAATTTAATTACAGTCATAATCAGATAAAAGAAGTGACTAACTAACCACAGTGGCTGGAGTGTTCATCCTGGCAGAGCTTCCAAGTCCCAGAATGTCTTGCATTGGTATGATTGCCGTCTGAGCAATTGATGAGAATGCAGCTTGGATGAGTGACCATGATATATCGTCTTCTTCAGCTATTCCCAGATATTTCATTGCCTGCCAACGACGAAATCGGTATTGTAGTTATCTTGCAATCATTAATTTAATACATATAAAAACTCTATATGTTTTGTTGTATGAGATTAGTGAAATGACCTTAGACTTTTCTTCTTGGTCCAGATTGTCCCACCAACCTTGAATCTGTTTATTTAATAAGAGAAATCAACAGGACAGATACATTTTGCTTTCTGTAAAATCAATCACGCTAAAACAGAACTTACAGTGTCGTTGTCATGCGTTCCAGAGTATACAACTTGGTTTACTTCATGGTTGTGAGGTAAATGTGGGTTATCAGCTCCGCCTCCAAAAGCTGAAAATTAGTCAAAAGTATCAAGTAGGGCAGAGAGAAATTTCAAAGACAGTAAAAGTAAAAATAAACGAGGAAGCCTATGTATTTACCAAACTGGAGGACGGCCATTCCAGGTGCTCCGATAGATTTCCTCAGCTCAACTACATCTTTAGTAATAACTCCCTGTATCATAAGACAAAAGTGTAGCCTCCATTAGCAAACCTCACATGCCAGATTTTTTCAATACGTAATCTGGTCGGCAGAAACTACTCTTATGTTTCTACACTCGGGCTGTTCATTTTAAACTAAATAAACTGATGCACATCTATACTAACCTATTGGGTTGAGCTTTCATGTAAGTAAGCTGTGTGTTTATATAATTGAGTCCTATGAGCTTACCAAATCTTCTGCTATGATTTTGATCTTCCCAACGCCTCTTGAAATGGCGTCAAATAAAGACTTTCCAGGTCCTACCTACAATAATAAAACTTTAGGAATCCTTTGTTTCTTCACCTGATTATACTCACATCAACGAATTAAGCAAAGCACCTTCCATCGTCCAACAGTTGCAACTTTAGCTTCTGCAGATAATCACACCAGATCAATCCTATGAAATACCAACCCAATTCGTACCCAACAAATATGATCAGTCACTTTTTCTTGTTTGAAGATTAACTCACCAGAACGGACCGCCCAAAACCCTGCAAATCCTCTGAAATGATCGATCCTGCATTCGTCATACAAGTCCTGCGCACGTCGTATTCGGTTAACCCACCAAGAATAATGGTCACTCTCCATCGCTTTCCAGTCGTAAAGAGGGCTACAAATCAAAGAATGAAAAAGGTCAATAAAAGTGAAGAGAGCAGCATCTTCAAGCCAACCTATGCAGGATCGATAATCTTTAAGTACAGGAGTGGGTAGCATCAAAAACCTTCCCCACAGTTGACCAGTTTCACTGAAGAGATCAGGAGGAACGCCGCTAACTAGAAGGGGGAAGCCTTTCTTGTTCTGCGCAAAGATAATAAAGGAAATTGGCTTTCAGGAAAGTCTACATTACTCTGCTGATACATGCGATGAGATTGTTATCCTCGAAATTTGAACCTTTTACTTGCCAGTAAAAAATGTTTCTTATTTGCCCAAACATCTGCACTGTGATATCCTACATAAATGGGCATATCCCCCATTATAGCGACACCTTTCCGCTGTGCATACTCACGAACTTTCTGCCACTGTCTTTGGAACAAAAATTGTTTGGCAATGAACAAGTCTATCTGCAGAAGCAAAAAAAGAAGCGGTTAACCTCAATGCCTTTCACAGGACATTATTTCGTGATGAAATGAAATCCAAGAAGTTAGCCAAACCAAGATCTTACAAAATCCTTTTGGCTTTCATATATAGCTTCCAAGGCTGAAAGATGACGGTTTTTAAGTGGTTCAGGCCACTCACACCAACTATATGCATTCAACGTATTGTCTATAGCTGCAAAATAAGCAGCATCTTCAAGCCAACCTACGCATAGTGAACATGACATCCTCAGTGATAAACTTGATATCCAGGGAAAGCCAGCAGAGTGTTAACAAGCCAATCTTTAAAATGGTATATTTCTCACATGATATAGAGGGGTCGTTGCGGAAATCTAACAGTTTGCTCTTCAGTTCACTATTGCTACCAATAAGCCTCTTTGCCGCCTGAGAAAAGGCAGTGATCATACTTAACTTCTGAAAACGAATAGATCAGTGGCTATTATAACTGAATCAATAATCAATATTTGACCAAAATTGAAAATTGCTAGGCAGCTTAGTTTGAATAAAAAAATCAAGTTGAAACGACAGCAGTAATCTTGTTCATATCAATCACAGCAATATTGAATTTTAGCAGATATATATAGGACAATTGAGATGACTAGCAACCAGATTGTGTACCTTAGTTATCAAAGGACTTTTTAATTCGTTGGCAGTTTGATAGTTCACACAGTCAGCATCACTGCATAATATAAGATATCCGACTTGAGGAACAAAAAAAAAAAAAGATTGAGTCCACTTAGAGATGATACTGAAGATTTATACATTGGTTGTGGAAGCTCATCCTTCAACAATAAGCCATCCTTCACAAGCTCATCCAGAGAAATCAACAATGTGTTCCCACAATTTGCATCCTAGAAGCAGCCAGCACACAAGTAGTTAGCAATCACTGAGAAAGAAACAATCAATTTGTGATCCATGGTAAAAAAAAGAAAAGAAGAAGACAAACCTGTCCTGCATAAGGAGATCCTCCTTCGTCTGGGGGAACCAGAGGAAGAACCTGCTCATGAACCAGAGGAAGAAAAATCAATTTGTAATGTCACATTGCCATTAATCGGAACTTCAGATGAATAATTTGAAGTCCAATCTAGATTTACAGAAACAGACAACTTAAGCTGAACTTCACAATTAGCGAACAGAACTCCAATTTTCCCTCACAGATATATACTCACCTGCCAAACGGAGCAGCCAGTAGAATGAAGCCAATCGATGAACCGGAACGCTTCTTCCCCGAGATCACCAATGCCGTGAGGACCTCGAAACGACGTCGGGTGGAGCAAAACGCCGGCTCTTCTCCGGGTCTCTGAATCAGGGACCGGAAGCCACTGCTCATACTCTTCTGGAAAGTCTTCACCGACGCTAATACATGAAAGAGAATTCGAAGTACTCGAAACGACCTCCATTCGCAGCCGGAGATGGAATGACTGAAACGCCTTTGATTTATTTCCGAGGAAAGCTGCGTTGACAATTGGTTCCCGAGAGGATAATCGGGAAAGCTTGAGAGAAGAGAGTGAAGGAGAGGAGCTAAGAATCGTCATGGATGATTAATGATCATCAAATCAACGCTTCTCCACACCAGATGACAAAAGCAAGCGAAGATATTTTGTTTCTCTTTGCAGTTGGGAGAGTGTGAAGTGTGAGGAGATCACGTGATCATCACGTGTGAGGAAATCTCTTCAATGGCGCCATTTTCAAGGCCGTATTCTGGGCTTTTACTTATGGGCTCCAATCTCGCCGACTAGACCGGATCCGATATCTTTAGAACCCGTGATCCAAGATTATTCACATAATTATTGTACGTACCATCTTCGCAATTTCACCCACTATTAAACTTCATAATTGATCCTATTTGCTGAAAAAAAGAAATTTGCAGTTCACAGGGAAGTGAGGACCACTCTTGAAAACATTCTGATAGAGGCAAACTAATTGGTCACTAACCAAGTGGTAGGTTTTTGAACTACTGATTTGATGGAGACAATGTTAATTCATTGCTACATAATGGCAATTTCAGCACGCAGTAATAAAATTAATAGGTAAAGAGACACTTGATAAAAGCCAATTTTTCCATAAAGTCAAAGAAAACAAAAGAGAACACCCCTTAAGTAAAGACACTTAGTCAACTACAAACGTTGACTGCCAAAGTCAGAATCATTTAAAATCCCCTAAAAGCTAAAAAATAGTAATTGAAAAGCACTCTTTGAGATCTCAACCTCGCTGTTGTTGAAGTGATTGTTTCGGCTCAGCACCACGCAGTGTACCAATCCAAGCCGGTGGCTGCATACCGGTCTGCTCATAAACCGTATCAAGAACCGGTGGCAACATCTTGTAGAGTCCAGCAATGTCCTTCATAGAATTACCATTGCCACCACCATTCATCCCCTGATCTGCACCACCATGATTCCACACACTGATCTTAGGCTGCAGGTCCTTGATCGCAATCGCATTGGTCTTGGCGATATCCTGGTAAACCCCATTGTTGACCATCAAGAAGTCCCTCATGGCTGAGTAATCATTGTTGACTGCGTTTAGCAGAGTCTTGAGATAAGTCCCCTGAGCAGTGGCCATGGCAACGATTCCCTCTGCATCTCTCTGTTTCGAGTAGAAGGTGGCATCTGCTGCAGCTTTCAAAGCCTCTGCTTGCTTCTGCTTCTCGTAGAGAACAGCTTCTGCTTGCTTTTGCTTGTTGTATAACTCCCAGTTTGCTTCTTGTACCTATGTGTACAACAACAACAATGTCACGATCCAAAGTCCAAACGAGAGAGAGAATCAAAGCAAAAGTCTAAAGATTGGGATGTGTGTATAATTACCTTAGTTTCATACTCAACACTGGCTTTACTCAGGAACTCGGCTTTAAGCATCTCTGTCCGGGTCAACGCATTCATTTTCTCTACTTTGGTCTGAAGCTCAGCTTCCCTCAAAGCAACAGCCTTGGTTGCTTCAACCTCAGCCACACGAGAGTCTTTAGTCAAAGCAGCCTTCTGGATCGCCAATGCAGCATCAGCCTGAGCAACAAGAGCCTCCTTCTCATTCTGAAACACTTGGACTTCGGTCCTCACCTTGATCTCTTCCTTTGTCCCTTCTCCTAGCCTCTGAGTGGAGATGATCTTTGACTCGGCATCAATCTTAGCTGCGTTCTGGATCGTGAGCCCGGTCCGTTCCTTGGCACCAACCTCTCCCTTCATCTTGGCCTCTGCGACATCGATCTTGGCTTGGTTGGCTGCTTCCATCTGGGTTTTCTGACCCAAGTAAGAGAAGTACTCATGTCCAGGCACATCAACGAGCTGCTTCACATTGGCGTTGTAAATCACTAGACCAAACTGGTTTAGCTCAAGCTGAACCTTGTCAAAGACTTCCTTCTTGAACTCCTTTGTTCCTAAAACGCCAGAATATTCAATTGTCATAAATAAGCAAAACAAACAAATTCTTCTGAAAGTATATGTATACACAAACAGTTGGATGATTTCGGGTTAGTAACCGTCGTAGTTACCAACTCAAGCAAACAAAAATCAAAGTTATACGTATCAACTGAAGAGAAGTAGATAAAAGACGCTTAAAGTTACCTTTGAAGACCTCTTCCATGGTCATGGAGGCAACGAGAACACGAGTCTCTCCTTCGATAACACCCTGAACAAGCTCATTGACATGGTTGGAGCGCTTGTCGTGTTGAGACATAAGCATGGCGTACAACAAGAGAGCGTGAGGGTCATCAACGCGCGGACCGATGGTGAAAACGGCAGGGATAACGAAGGGGAGTTTCTCGGAACTCATAGCCTGAACCTCGAAGGTGTAGTTCACCGGGGAAACGTCGAAGACGGTGCAAGACTGCCATGGATACACCCAAGCCTTCTTCGCGAGCTTGATGTCTTTGATCCCACCACCGGTGATCGCAAGATACTGCGACGCTGTCGCGACTTTGTAACCCATTCTTACTCTTGCTTGGAATTTAGGGGGTTTTGTTTCTTACGATTTAGGGAAATTTAGGTATTTTTCTGAAAGGAAGTTGTCGTTTGTGTGTGTGGAGAGATATTAGCTTTTACGGTGTTTTTACCTATATATATATATATAGAGAAGTTCTCTTCAATTTCTGGAAGTCACAAAATATTGCCTTTCTGATCCGTGCTTATCCCAATTTTTGGGCTTTTTTTTGGGAAAAAATTCACACAGACAGTATATATCTCCTTTATTTAATAAACATCTAAATGGGAAAAAACCAGACTCACGCACATTTGATTTGCGGAGGATATAGGATCATGTGTATTCGCTTTACCTACACGAGTTCTTAATACGCGTACGCCGTACTTACGAAAACTAGAGGAAGTTTCACACACACAAAAAAAGGAAAACTAGAGGAATAAGTGTAACTTCGAATCAGTTACTATTTTCCAGTTTCATTACATCATCACGTGTAAACTAACCACAGTGGCTGGAGTGTTCAATTATATATATAATTTTCTATAATATAATTAATCTCAAATAATTTAGTTGAAAAAAAATATCAAAAATTTCAACATCCAATAAAAATAAAACATATGTTTTTATTTTAATATTATTATTATATAATAAAAATTGACCACTTAATATATGTCACATGGCAAAAAAAAATCTTACTTTTTTGCAATTCACACTGTTAAATAGATTTAATGTTGTTTCTTTACAGTTTTACTTCAGTTCTAATTTTTTATTCAACATCTCGTTAGAATAATTTAATAGTTGAATAAATAATTCAACTGTTGAAAAAACCATCATTGTAAGTAGTATATATTTTTCCTCCACCGTTAATCTTTTATCATCGTCGTAAGTTTTTTTGCTTGTTCGACTTGCAGTAAATCCCTAATTTCTGTTTAATTGTTTTGTTGGGGTCATATTTTTTTGTTTTTTGAAGAGGTCACAAAATCAGAATGCAAAGAAGAAGAGCCCAAGAAGGAAAGAGAATTTCATAGAAGACTTCAAGAGAATGAGGGATGAATCGTGAATGTGTTGAGTAAAAAATAAGTTTAGATATGTTGTGAGTCCTATGTATGTAAATAATATGCATATTTGACCTCATGTATATAAAATAAGTCATTTTGTTATAGAAGTTGCTGCCATAATAAAGATGATTTCTCCGAATTTATTTTATGATGATCAATGCATTAATTGGCAATGAAGCTTCATCCATGAGAAATCTGGTTATTTCGGGTGGACAATGAAAAAGAAAGGGTAAGCTAGATTTGATCTCATTAAAAAAGTTGTAAAAAATTAAAAATTATGAATCTAATATGATGTTATTATATACATACACTATTTGTGCAAAAATTAAATCAATTATGATTTATATACATACACTAATTGAAAATACCAGGATAAGTCCACCAATCGCAATAAATCTAGTAGATGAGTTTTCTTATAGCTAATTTAATGCAAAAGATAATTCCTAATTTGTAACAAATTGCATAAAACTAGGAAAACAAATTCTTAGAAGATTGACAAAGATCGCGTGTTTTCGCCGTTTTAACCAATGAACCCGTTACACGTGGAGTACCAACTTTTGCCGTTATTTTCTCGCGGTGGCCTTCAAAAAATACTTCAGGGAAATCACAGCCCCGTCGCTTTATCTTTCCCCCACCCACCCAACTTTCTCGTCGCCTTCCCTTGATCGTCTTCTTCCTCTTCCTCAATAATTTCCCGAAAGAGACTCTGGAGGAATCTCTCTTCCCGTAAAATTCTTATCTTTCTCCATAAATAGTGGGTTCTGGGGGGAAAGAGTTTGTGATGGTAGATAGCTACAATAATATCCCATGGCTCATATGGATCCAAATGTTCGTCTTCTTCCTCCTCTTACTCCTCCTCTGTGTCTTCGGAATAATATCTTCAGATATCATCGATAGCAGTTGCTTGTCTTCTGATTCCGTTCCTTCTACCTCCTGCTCATCTCTCTCTCGGCGATTTCTTCCTGGAGATCCGATTCAGATCAGCCACCACGGCTTGGGGTTTTCCGTCAATTCGAGTCTCGTACAGTCTAATCAGGTAACTCAACTATCTATTTCATCGACGAATCACTGAATCAGTCGCATCTGCTCTCCGTTGACTTACTGTTTTTGGACTGAGATTTTTTTTTTCTTCTTCTGCGGAATGCTTTCATCTCTTCTGTTTCCAAGCTGTTAAACTTTAAATCGACATTGATGTTCTGTGAACGTGAAACAGATTATGGGGGAATTTGCAGGGAGTTGAATGAAACTTTAGGGATTAGATTGCAATTAAGAATTAGGGAGAAAGTGGTTGCCAAAATTAGCTGAGGAGTAGCCACTTTTTGAACGTAATGCCCGCGAGAAGTTCAAATGACGTGTCTCACCAAACAAAAAAACCATACTTGAAACTAGATTTAGATGATGATTGGCTTTTCAATTATGCAAATAGTAAAAAAGTTATCTAAACATAGGAAATGGAGATTTCCTAATTATGGTTTTTTTTGGATCATATAGCTGAGGCTAAGCTACTGCGTTTGATTGTCGTTTCGGCGCAAAACTATGTAAGCTAATTCAATTACTGAGACTCTGAGAGTCGTTGGCTAAGAACTTGGCATTGAGATTTTTCAGGTTTATTTGTGTTTTGGAAGTTCTTCGTTTATTTGAATTAACCCCAATGTGATTTTTCCTTGACGTCAAAGCTTTGGTTGCTTAGGTTTTCCTTTTGAGTACAATAATCTTCTAGTTTTGTCTCTTAAGTAAACAATTAACTTCTCTCTTAGCTTATTCACATGCTAACACCAGTTTCATTAGGAAAGGCACTGCACAGTAGTATTACTTAGACGTGTGGTTTTAGTTCCCTTGTTGCCACATGTTAGAAAAACGGTAAAAAGATTTTATGGCTCGGATATTCTTAAGATAATCTACTCGCAAACAAGAACCAGTAAATTCAAGCTGGATCCTCCTCTGGTCAGTGTGGTTTATGGCAGATAGTCCTCTTCAAAGTTTGTGTGGTGTCTCTGTAATTTTATATCGCAGACCCGTTTCCTAGATTCATCGTTTGTTAATGAACTCATCGTTTTTTTTTTAACGACAGATGGGAAGTTCTCAGGTCATAAAAGGAGAGATTACACCAGCGGAAACAAGGATGGTCACAAGTTCAGGGGAAGAAGAATGTTTGCCGGAGAAAGATTCGAGTCATAATTTTTTGCTTCATCCTTGTAATTTGTTTCAGCTTGCTGGAACTGCGTTTCTAAAGTGTTTCGGGATTGATCGGAGTACTGAAGAAACCGATGAGTCTCTGAGACCAGAATCTAAGAAACAGAGATGATTAAAATTCTTTGTGAATAGGAGAAAGAACATATACTCACGCGTTTTTTTTTTTAATATGTGTTGATGTGTAGAGATTGAAGAAACTTGTAAGTATATGAAAAAAGTCAAATGTTGGGGACTTGGGGTAACACGAACGAGTCACAACTCAACGAATTCGTATTCTTACTCGTAAAAAAACGATGTTTTTTACTATTGTAGAGTTTTAAAATTCTGTTGATTTCAGTGACGCATTTGAAAGATTATGGCTGCAAGTCAAATTAACATATTTTACGGAAAAGTATAGTAAAAGAGAATATATATATAAGGTTTTTTCCAGTGATCCAAATTAATCAAAGTTAACATGATCCGGTTTTGGTCAAACAAAAAATACTCTCAACCCCAAAAAAGTTTATGGGATCCAAAAAGCAGATAATCAAGAAAAGCCAATAGACTTATCCAACGGCAAGTGGGAGTCGTTGTTTCTTCTTTTTCTTTTCTTTCCGAGACAACAATATTTGACCACATGCCTTTTTTATACAAACGAGTGACAGAACTATTATGATTTGATTCGGAAACTAACTGTTGAAGTTGACGACGTTTTATCATTCTTTGATCAACAATCTTACATGACTTGATTTTACATGTTCATCAAACTTTCTTTTAGCTAGTAATTTAGTTCCATGTGTTTTGATTGTCATACCTTCCAATTGATTACGAAATTAGCAAGTTTATTAAGAATAATCATTTGGAATATCCAAGTCCAGAGATAAGTGAGAAGGAAAGAAAGTTAGTTCGGAGGGTTGTGAAATTTCTGATCAAAATCATTCCCCTATATGTAATTGCAATTATTAAGTTTTAGTATAATTATATATTTAAGCAGAGAATAATCGAGTTAGTTAGATGACCAAGACCAATCATCACATAACACAACACAACTTCGTCGCCGGTCTCCACGAGTAAACACCTGATGTATATAATAATCTCATAGCCTCACAACTCAAAAGTGACAACCACAAGAAGATGCACACCAGCTTCATATATAAAACTAGTTTTTACATTTCCCTCGTGGCTTTTGATAATATAGCAAATTAATAAAATCCCATAAAGCCAAAAGAAGACAATTGTGAGAACATGGAAAAAGTTAGGTCGTTACAAAAACAAATTAAAAATTCAATATTCGATTTTTGAAAAGTTTGCTAATCAATAATCATGGTAAAAAAAGTTTTTGCAAAGGTAATTTTCATTTCATCCCAACTTGTTATAAAAAATTAGGGGAAACATCGTCGTCCTCGTTGGAGTGAACTAGAATGTCGAGTCATCAACCCACCTAAAGTCTAAAACCACATGCTTAATTTCGCTAATAACAACAAATTAAAATTTATTTTAAATGCATTTTTTTGTCAACTGATTAATTAAAAACTCAGAATTAATTAAGTCATGGATTATGAAGATATATTGTATATTAGACTCTATTATGAGAGTATCTTATCAAGATATCTTTCACTAATAAGAAAAAAAAAATCATGAAGCAAGAAAGAAAAGGAAAAAGATTTCATCAAATTATTTCATTTGAGAAATCATAAATTCACTTTACACATGTTATTATATGATTAGTTTAATTTTTTATAAATAAAAATTTATTATATTTAGATGAAATATTTTAAGAAAGTATCTCACCAATGAGATGGTCTTAAAGACTCACACCAAATACCGAGTTAACCCACTACCACTACTATAAGAAGCAAAGTTGTCTCTCTGCTCAATCACTCGCATTTAAAGAACAGCTTCACTCCTCCCACCAAGAACTAATCAGACTAGCAAAAGTTTTTAACTCAGATCTCAATGGAGAAATCAGGTAGACAAAGCGAAGAAGCAACTTATCTCTGGATTCCATTTCAGTTCCTCTACCAAGCTCTTAAAGCTATCTTGAAGTGCCTTGGTCTTCTTCATCATGATTCTAGGACGACCACACAAACGACGTCGTATCCGATGAGTTGTAATCAGCCGGTAAGCTTTCTTTAACAATATTTATCGAATTTTCAAGAGCATGTTTTGGACTAATTCGGGATTTATTGATTTCTTGCTGTTGTGTGCTTTCTTGAACAATACTATCGAATTTTCAAGAAAATATTTTTGATTACTATGGTATTATTATTTTCTCTCTGTTGTTAATATACTGGTCATTAAGTGGAGTCATTCAATCTTTTTGTGTTTTAAAATTTTGCAGATGTTGATTTTTTTCTTAAGTATATATATAATAACGTTTTTATTAGCGCTTGCATGTATTATATTTATTTTATAGTATTTTTAAAACAAAAAAGTGAGCTATGAGTTTGGACCAGTAATTATGTATTGTATTAATAAATCAAAGGTTGATTTCAATAAATAACAACATATTTTGAGTGGATATTAGTGAAGTTTATTCCAGTTTTAAAGGCTATTAACATGATTTTAGTAATTTGTGAAATGAATCAAAACATGTGTTTGCAGTTGCAGGAGGAAGAAGAAGGAGAAGGTGTTGTTGCCACTGAAGACGACGTCGTTGTGACGAGTAGGGGCATCACTGTGTCGAGTAGGGGCATAAAGGTCAAAGCAAAGAAAAAGGAGAGAGAACAACCTAGCTCAGGCCGTTCTGGCCAACATCACTAGTACTTAATTACATTGTTTAGTTCAATTGATTTGCAGTCAATAAATTAGCATTATAAGTGCAATCAGTGATATTTTAGTAGTAATTCACTAGTTACTAAATTAGCATGATTGTTCTTTGTATTTATTTTTAAATGATATTAACAGTTTACCGACACAAAGAGGTAACAGTTTACATTTTTTTTAATGCTATGTTGGGGTTCAGAAAAAAATGAAAATATCCAATCATCACAAGTTCATAACGAGTACTATCGAACACATAGGTCCCTAATCAGTGTTAAACACTAAAGACGTACATAATTAATAATATTGGACTAAGTCTAACAGTCCGTCCTAACCCACATTAAATATTTGGTCTGTAAGTCTATGCGTGTAAATCAACTACTTTGTTTTTATGATTTTTATACTTTCAATGTTTTGACCCATACCTATCTGCAACGCTGTATTTAATTAAAGTAAATAACGAGAAAATGAAGAAATGAAAAAGTTCAGCTTAACAATCGAAACTGCAAAATGATGGATTTGCATTTTATAATAATAAAATTAGTGGAATGAAGAAATTAGGGAACACATATTATTATTATTCTAGTTTATGGGGGTTACCAACATTTTAGTAAACCTAATACGATATTTCTAATGATACAGACAAGAATAATAAACGCAATTGACGATGATTACATAACAAATTCACAATGTGTATTCGTTGACAATATTAAAGACAGTCACAGACTCACAGGTACTCTCTAGTCTCTACTAGTAATGCCTGATTATATATTCTTAAAAAAAAAAATTGAAATATTCAATGACAAAAAAAAAAAAAAGAATTAGCTGTGTCACAACCGCGAGGAGCATGCAGCACCAACTTCGAATGTACAACAACCTAACATTCTTCATTGTGACTTTAGTGGACTTTAGGCATTTCTAATTCATTTTCTCTTCATATAAACTATAACAGAGAAAAAAAAAACATTTCATAAGACCCATAAGCCGTACGTGGTGATAAGTCTCGCGTCACCAAAGAACTATAATTATTAAACTAAGGTATGGTGAGACAGAAGTTTGGGGGTCTTAATAATTGGCCCTACAATAATCATTATATTCCACCTTTTTAAAATACAATTTACAAAGCGACCACAATGGTTACGGTTACGGACCCATAAATGCATTAAGCCAATGGCAAACAAAAAAAAGATGCATTAAAACCAAAGGAACAAGTGTTAGACTATTTCATACTATTAACAGGAAAATTTAAAACATTAGTACAAAATTGGATTTTCTCAAATGTATTTATATCATGACCGTTTTATTATTGCAATAGAAGCAAGTCATGTGTGTCCAGTCAATGATTTATTTTTTTTAGGTGAATGTAAAATTTGTATTCATACTGTTTTTTTTTTACAAATAATGCAACCAGAATGTAAACTTGAAAGTGGGTTTTACATGCTAACACCAGTTATAATAGGAAAGTACCTAAAAGATAATAGATAAATAATATGCTGGATAAATCGGTTTACATGCTAACACCAGTTATAATAGGAAAGGCACTGAACACTGTTACTTAGACGTTTGGTTTTAGTTCCCTTGTTGCCACATGTTAGAAAACCCGTAAGAAGATAATTTAACTGAAGTTGCATTTCAAACATTTTGGATTATGAATCTGGAGAGAAGTTTGGAACCTTCTCTAGTTAGTGTGGTTTATCCAGATAGTCATCTTCAAAGTTTGTGTGGTGTCTCTGTGATTTTTTATATCACAGACCCGTTTCTTAGATTCATCGTTACACGCAATGATATCATGGTTGAATCACTGACCCATTTTCTTAGATTCATCGTTTGTTAATGAACTCATCGTTTTTTTTTTTTTAACGACAGATGGGAAATTCTCAGGTCATAAAAGGAGAAATTACACCAGCTGAAACTGTTTGGATTCTAAATGTTTTCTAAAGAACATGAGTTTTTTGTTGTCGGTATTTATAAGGTAATTAAGGTTTTCCATTGTATGGTATTGCGTTAGTCATGAATTTATATTTGATTGTCATGTACCCCCAATTTGTTTCTTAGTCATGATCCGGATTAAACCGGGTCGGTTTATCATAGAAATAAGGTATTGGAAATAATGGTGGCCGGTTTGTAGGTGAATTCTCATAACCGGTCTACCAAACCGGTGAGTTGATGTGATGCCGTCAGGTTGATCAGTTTGGTGTTGATTCTCTTCACTAGCGTCCTAAACTGATCAATCCTTTGTTAAATTAAAAATGTCAGATATATAATTTTACTGTGGAAAAAGGAACAAGTTTTTTCACTTTAAAAAATATAATTTATGAAAAAGATTACTAATGACTGTTTATGGGTATAACGAATCTTCAAATTTTCAATGTTGCTATCTCTAGGATTTTCTTTAAAATAAAGTTATTATTTACGTTGGTTGATGTTATATTATTTTTAAAGTTTATTAAATACTCGACATCGGAAAAAATTAAAATAATTGAAAATATAATATTTTATTGTTTGACTATAAAATGTAATCTTCAATACTTTATTATAGTCAATATCTTCATGATAAAATTTTAATTTCTAACCATGCATCCATTTGATCTTAATTTATTTGTTGGAATTTAAAAAAAAAAATTATTTGTTGGAAATGTTCATATAAATAGCTACTATATCCA